TGTCTTCAAGACCCCTCCTGGCTGTCTTCAAGACCCCTCCTGGCTGTCTTCAGGACCCCTCCTGGCTGTCTTCAGGACCCCTCCTGGCTGTCTTCAGGACCCCTCCTGGCTGTCTTCAGGACCCCCCCTGGCTGTCTTCAAGACCCCCCTGGCTGTCTTCAGGACTCCCCCCTGGCTGTCTTCAGGACCCCCCCCTGGCTGTCTTCAGGACCCCCCCCTGGCTGTCTTCAGGACCCCCCCCTGGTTGTCTTCAGGACCCCCCCCTGGCTGTCTTCAGGACCCCCCTGGCTGTCTTCAAGACCCCCCTGGCTGTCTTCAAGACCCCATGGATGTCAAGACCCCCCTGGCTGTCTTCAAGAAGGTGCTGGATATGCACCTAAAGTCAGTACCTGACCAGCCAGGCTGTGGTTCATACATCGGGTTGCATGTGGCCAGCAGCAACAGCCTGGTTGATCAGGCCCTGATCCACCATGAGGCCTGGTCACAGACCAGGCCGTGGGGGTGTTGACCCCCCAAAACCCTCTCCAGGTATACTCCAGGTATTTAGAGGTTGCTCCGGGGGTTAGCGCCCCCCCCATGGCCGGTCCTTGACTAGGGCTGTGGTGTTTACCTGGAGTCATTTTGAGTGGCTCAATAATAATGAAAATGTTTATTTACTTGTAAAGTTTACAAGGGCAAGGGTCTGGGTTCGATTCCCAGCCAGGGTAGAAACATTGGGCATGTTTCTTTACACTTATTGTCTGTTCCCCATCAGTAAAATGGGTACCTGGGTGTTAGTCAACTGGTGTGGGTCGCATCCTGGGACACTGGCCTAATTTGCCCGAAATGCTCAGCATAACGAGGGGCTTTCTCTATAGTAGTATGTCATAGATGTCAGCTATGGTCTGTGTACCCTGTACTTGTAGTAAATAGAGATATTGATATTATTAATTACGAAGGCCACTAGCATGCCTAGGCGTTTTGGGTAGACTATCTTTGATATTGTTTTTGTCACCTTTGCACCATATACATGTATAACATTTCTCGTACATACGTTTTTCAATGTTTATGAAATAGTATACTGTATATTGTAATAAACAGAATAGAGGAAATCGGCTCTAATATACATTATTTAGGCATGCATTCTGGTCAGAGAGCCCATCGTAAGTCCGAGGTGTCGGTAAATGAGTACGTCGCTAAGTGAGAAGAGGCTGTAATACATTCATGTACTGTACTATAACCTATACATATTATACAATGCTCGGGGGAGGATAAGTTGTCAAGTTTGATGTAGGAGAGGGGAAGGTTTCCACCATTTTCTTGGATCAAGAGTCCCTACCAAGCATAAAGACATGTTCAGTGAAGGTAGAGGAATAAAAGAAAGAGAAAGAGTGAGGTGGAGGAAGAGGAAGAGGGAAGGAATGTGAGGGAGGGAGTGGGTGGCTGAGTAAGGCAAGGTGTGGGAAGTGTTCCTGCCCACCTCTCCCAGCCAAGGTCACTCGCTCGCCTAGTAGTGACCACCTAGCAAAGAGGTGGGGCCAGGAGCTGTGACTTGACCCCTGCAAGTACATATAGGCAAGTGTACAGATACAGACATAGATGGGCCTACAGTTTGCTAGCAGTAAGAGCTTGCTTGACCAGGCAGAAGGCAGTCTGGCCTCAGGTTAAACTACGAGGGTAGACTTTGCAAGGTCATATGAAGTCCACTAATCGTTTTCAAATTCTGTTGGAAAAGTCCTCCAAAATTACTGCCTTTCCACGCTATTCAAATTTGGATGGACCTTTTTTAAATGCACTTGCCAAAAAAATTGATTTATTTCTTAGGTTATCCTAGTTAATTTACACCATGATCATTGTATTTGTGTCTAAATACTCTTATATTCCAGCATTTCTTAAATTTTACAGATACATTATAAACTACAGCCTTTGCTTCAGTAGGTAGTGTATTCCTTAGGTCTATTTCTGCTTTAAGATTTTTTCACAATCCTTGATTTGGATTCTTGAATCACATATGATAGCTAATTTTCCAAGTACTGCACGACCCCGTTATGGGTTACCTGGAGAGATTTTTGAGGAGTCAGTGCCCCCGCAGCCCGGTCTGTGACCAGGCCATGACCCAGGTTAGTGAATTCCATGAATATAATTCACATTTCTTGGCATTCTGTGCTCAATCTTGAGCCCCTGGGCTTACCACTCTGCTAGTGCCATAAGCATGATAAGTAGGCTTACTTAGGCACAGGTATATGTAAATACAATTATCATACATAGTGTAAATTACCTAGAATAACCAAAAGAAGTTAGTCATTTATTTCAGTTAGGGTATTAATTCACCATTGAAATCAGGCAGTGGTCTTGCCATGCACACTAAGTGTCCGTGGTTCAATCTCCATCCATGGGAAACATTGGGCATGTTTCCTTACACCTGCTGTCCCTGTTCACCTAGAAGTAAGTAGGTACCTGGGTGTTAGTCACCTTAAACCTGCTGTCCCTGTTCACCTAGAAGTAGGTACCTGGGTGTTAGTTGACTGGTGTGGGTCACATCCTGGGAGACAAGACTGAAGGACCACAATGGAAAGTCTTTGATGATGCACTGACTTGGGTTCTCCTGTATGGCTAACCCTCTGGGTTAATTTAAAAATCCCAACACAATCTTACCTTAAGAAGGTAAATCAAAACACAGGGCCTTCTCCTGTTTTTTTCTAATAGGAATCGCAATAGTCATTTTAATCTCTGGCATACAAATACTTTCTGCCTGTATACAGATAATGTAGTTTACGTGTAATAAAATATTGTTAGGCACAAATAAAAGCCACCGAGATGCTGTGCATTTGCTAGGATTGTAAACAATGGTTTAATAAGGCACCTTTGTATTGTGCGCCATCACTATCCATAAATAAATAATGCAAATCAACAATCTGGAGCCATCACTGTGTTGTATAAAATTCTAAAATACATTTGGTAATTGATTTACGATTGGTCTTAAATTCTTACACAGCTCTTCTTAACCCTTTATGATTTTGTTTGGCAGAACTTTATCAAGTAGGCTGTTCCTTCTAGTTGCTTGTCACAAACTGTTTTAGGTAGTAGTCCTGGCTTGGTAGCCTTGGGAAACCATAACACCTGGAGGATGTTCCAGGGGTCAACACCCCCATGACCTGGTCCACGACCAGGCCTCATGGTGGATTAGGGCCTGATCAACCAGGCTGTTACTCATGGCCACATGCAAACCGGAGCTTTAAATCCCTCTCATAGTACTAGGTTAATTTTAATAATATTAAAGTCCCTCATAGCTACATTTTTACATACACGTTTCTCCTAATTTCTACCTAAAAATGTTTCCCGCACTTTCTAACTCAAGGTCTGTACAGCACACCTAAGACTTCCTTTTCATGACCTTCAAGACACTGCATCCAAATAGTCTCTCTTTTCTTCGGTTAATTAACATTAATATACTAAGGACTCAAGTGGTAAACACAAACATTCTTTATTTCTTTGTGTAGTGTACACAGTGTAGTTTACGTGTCTTTGACGAGTTTCAAGAGTCTTGCTAATCTCTGAGCACAAAGAAGGCCATGAGCCTGTATGTGCATTTCTGGCAGACTAATGCTTACAGACTGCTTAATTCAATAACTTATAACCCTATTTTTTTAAGGGGTGGAGAGGTAAGTCAATGGAAGGCCTCAGTCAGATGACCGAAAGCTCAAGCTGTGGGTCATATGACTAAGACCCACATCAGGAAATGCATGTCCTGTTCCCTGACGAACCTTGCCTAGCCTAACCTGACCTAATTGCTTAATTACATGGGTCAAGGCATGATAGAAGGCAGGGAGTCAAGTGTGAAGACTGTTATAAATGATACATTAATATACTGTACTATATCCTATACATATTATACAATGCTCGGGGGAGGATAAGTTGTCAAGTTTGATGTAGGGGAGGGGAAGGTTTGCACCATTTTCTTGGATCAAGAGTCCCTACCAAGCATAAAGATATGTTCAGTGAAGGTAGAGGAATAAAAGAAAGAGTGAGGTGGAGGAAGAGGAAGAGGGAAGGAATGTGAGGGAGTGGGTGGCTGAGTAAGGCAAGGTGTGGGAAGTGTTCCTGCCCACCTCTCCCAGCCAAGGTCACTCACTCACCTAGTAGTGACCACCTAGCAAAGAGGTGGAGCCAGAAGCTGTGACTTGACCCCTGCAAGCACATACAGTGGACCCCCGCATAACGATAGTATTTCAATCCAGAAGTCTGTTTGGGTGCCATTATAGACCGAATTTGTTCCCATAAGAAATATTGTGAATTAGATTAGTCAGTTTCAGACCCCTTAAAATACACCTACAAAATCACTTACAAAAATACACTTACATAATTGGTCGAGTTGGGAGCTGATCGTTATGCGGGGGTCCACTGTATAGGCAAGTGTACAGACACACGTAGATGCGCACACTCCTGCAGGAAGGTCCTCATGCCTGTGTAGTCCTCCCTTTTATAGTTTGGCTTTTCCCTTTCTACTCCTGTTACCCTCTCCACTTGTAGCTCTATGATATATTCAGAGCTCAGAACCGTGTGGTCACTAGCTCCAAGGGGCCTTTCATATGTAATGTCCTCAATGTCTGAGCTACTCAGGATGCACACACGCACGCAGACTCACTTTCTCTCACTCTTTCACTGTCTCACTCTCACTTGCTCTCACACATACACTGTTACTCTCCTCAGACATAGGAGAGAAGGGTAGAAATATAAGCCTGAAGGTGAGAATGGGGGGAAAATATATTTGATTCGATATTTTCCTCCAATCATTTCCCGTCCAGGAAAGCGACTCACAGAAAGAAATGTATTCTCTATTTATTCAACAATCACCTAATAGATTGTACATGTAAAACCAGTTATCATTACCTGTTAATCTTAAGTTAGTCTAAGTTTGCCCAAAATATTCTGCATATTAAAGGGCTTTTGGCATGTACACCTTAATGTAATTCACCGTTCTAAAAACATTGTATAATGCTGAAATAAATTATCTTCAACAGCTGTCTTGGCAAAAGTGTGCAGACATCACAGTTTAAATAGTCCTCCAGACTGCAACATCGCCGCCCCTCCATTTGAGCGCAGGCACTACTACTCGCCTCCACCACCAAGTGTGTACAAAATAAGAGGATTACATGGAAGGATAAATATTTACAGTATACACTTGTGTAGACTGCTTAATCATTCAGGTGTGTGGCTCCAGGTGGTCACTGGCAACATTTGCTTTTCAAATATATTCTAGCCTTAGCCAGTCCAGTATTACAGTGCAGCATTACTTAATTTCCAGTTAGTTTACATATTAATGTGCCATATTTTTCCTACAATCTTCTACAGTATGCGACTGGCCTTGATAACACCTGGGATAAGTCGGGTGATTCCCTTTGTCATTTCATCTAATTGCTTTTATCTAAATTTGGTAATGATCGAGGAAAACTGGTTAAGTGGTATCTTGGAGGTGGGAAGTACAGTACCTGCACTCTGAAAGATGGGTGGGGATGTTAGTCCTGGAGGTGGGAAGTACAGTACCTGCACTCTGAAAGATGGGTGGGGATGTTACAGTCCTGGAGGTGGGAAGTACAGTACCTGCACTCTGAAAGATGGGTGGGAATGTTAGTCCTGGAGGTGGGAAGTACAGTACCTGCACTCTGAAAGATGGGTGGGGATGTTAGTCCTGGAGGTGGGAAGTACAGTACATGCACTCTGAAAGATGGGTGGGGATGTTAGTCCTGGAGGTGGGAAGTACAGTACCTGCACTCTGAAAGATGGGTGGGAATGTATAATTTCAGAGGGCCATTTTATTTGTGATATTTGCACACTTCTGACAAGACAGCTATTAAAAGAATGATGGTGAATTTTTATTTTTTTTTCACCTTACATTAGTGGGAGATGTCCATGTGTTAAAAGAATTTACATCTCTCTTCCAAATACAGGAACAGTGTAGTGTGACACAATGAAGAAAACATTGTCTCCAATACCTGATGAAGGGAATGGTGCCAGTGGTAGCAGTGGTGTCGAGGCAACTGTTTCTTTACACACGGCCAAGGAAAATTTGCAAAACACTTTTCAAACGCATCAATTGCATAAAGAGGTTTGTTGATTTGTGCATTGGTGGATTGTTTTTATTTCGGTGTATAGGCATACATCGCTGAGCATCGTGGGTTGGCTAGCTAGCCAGGGACCTACCCTCATTTTGGGTTGGCTAGCTAGCCAGGACCTAACCCTTATTTTGGGTTGGCTAGCTAGATGGGGACCTACCCTCATTTTGGGTTGGCTAGCTAGCCAGGGACCTACCCTCATTTTGGGTTGGCTAGCTAGCCAGGACCTAACCCTTATTTTGGGTTGGTTACTAGCTAGCCAGAGACCTAACCCTTATTTTGGGTTGGCTAGCTAGATGGGGACCTACCCTCATTTTGGGTTGGCTAGCTAGCCAGGGACCTAACCCTCATTTTGGGTTGGCTAGCTAGCCGGGGACCTGCCCTCATTTTGGGTTGGCTAGCTAGCCAGGAACCTGCCCTCATTTTGGGTTGGCTAGCTAGCCAGGAACCTGCCCTCATTTTGGGTTGGCTAGCTAGCCAGGAACCTGCACTCATTTTGGGTTGGCTAGCTAGCCAGGAACCTGCCCTCATTTTGGGTTGGCTAGCTAGCCAGGGACCTGCCCTCATTCTGGAGTGTACCTGTATTGTATGAAAAAATTAAAAATGTCCCCCCTTGTTTTAGCATTTTTTTTTTTTTGTTTAAAAAATGATTTAATGATTTTTAATTTGATGTTCATATTGTAACATATTTAATTCTTAAATCTGTAAAATATTTAGTTTTAAATGTGTAAATTGTTTAAAGATAATCTGAATACATTGCTGTTACACTTTACTCTTCTCTTTTTACGAAGTTTAAAAACCCACATACAGTGGACCCCCGCATAACGATCACCTCCGAATGCGACCAATTATGTAAGCATATTTATGTAAGTGCGTTTGTAAGTGTATGTTTGGGGGTCTGAAATGGACTAATCTACTTCACAATATTCCTTATGGGAACAAATTCGGTCAGTACTGGCACCTGAACATACTTCTGGAGTGAAAAAATATCGTTAACCGGGGGTCCACTGTATACAGTGTGTATACAGCCTCTCCTCACTCAGCGACGTACTCGTTTAGTTTAATGATGACTCGGACTTACAACGGGGGCTCTGACCAGTATACGTACCTAAATAATTTATATTAGAGCTGATTTCCTCTATTTTATTTATTACAGTATACAGTACACTACTGTATAAACATTTAAAAATATACCAGAAATGTTATAAATGGTACAGAGGTGACATTAAAACAAAATCAAAGATGATTGACACGAACTCACTACCATTATAATATGCTCCTCATTTAGTGACGAATTCGTTTACCGACGTGGTCTTAGGAATGCAACTCCGTCGTTAAGTGAGGAGAGGCTGTATATATTTGTAATTTATATTATACAAGCTGTTGCTGATTAAATTTTATTATTAATTTTTAAAAATGCTATATTATCCGTCTGTGTATTTTGAACTCAGCAGGTGATTGTGAATATATTTTTTTAGATATATAATAATAAATAATAATATATATAATAATAATATAATAATAAAGGAGGTTTTGTGGGTAAGGGGCTTGGACTTCCAGCAAGCGTGCGTGAGCGTGTTAGATAGGAGTGAATGGAGACGAATGATACTTGGGACCTGACGATCTGTTGGAGTGTGAGCAGGGTAATATTTAGTGAAGGGATTCAGGGAAACCGGTTATTTTCATATAGTCGGACTTGAGTCCTGGAAATGGGAAGTACAATGCCTGCACTTTAAAGGAGGTGTTTGGGATATTGGCAGTTTGGAGGGATATGTTGTGTATCTTTATACGTATATGCTTCTAAACTGTTGTGTTCTGAGCACCTCTGCAAAAGCAGTGATAATGTGTGAGTGTGGTGAAAGTGTTGAATGATGATGAAAGTATTTTCTTTTTGGGGATTTTCTTTCTTTTTTGGGTCACCCTGCCTCGGTGGGAGACGGCCGACTTGTTAAAAAAAAAAAAAAAAAAATGCCATTGTTTTGTGATGTTCAATTTTTATTGATCATCTTGATTATGTATTAATTAATTTTAACGTTTTTAAATTTATTTTCGTTGTAAATTTTTTGACAGTCCAGTTTTGCTTTGCGATTTTATCGTTAACATTTTACCTTCAGAAACTAGGAAGCCTTGAAGAAGAAATAGCAAAGCTACAGAAGTTCAGAAAAGATTATGAACATCTTTTGAAGAAGCTTCAAACTCTTCCAGATAAAGCTTCTCATGAGGTGGGTGGTGAAGATAGTCTTGTACCCCATGTGGCTAACTAATTTGCCACAAATATAACTCGTGACAAAGGTTTGTCACCTGTGTTCTAGTTGAGTGAAGGCCGAGAATCTTTCAACCCTTAAACGGTCCAAACGTATATATACGTTTTTTCAACATCTGGAAGTGTGTAAAAAAATATAGATTTTTTTTGTTTTACATGTGAAAACGTAAAAAAAAAAACTTTTATTTACATTTTTTTTTGTTATATTTGAAAATATGTAAAAAAGAAAGTAGATCTACTTTTGTAGCAATACGAATTTGAACGTCGATCTGTTTGGACCGTTCAAGGGTTAAAAGTGGCTTCAGACTTGCAGATAATTCTTTGCCTGAGGATTCTCTCTTGTACCCAAGTGGATAACGTATTTGGGACTAAACCGTATTTCTTGTACAGGTCGGCTGTCACTGATCCGGCAATCACTGATACGTATTTACAGGGTATTCTGACCTAACCACTCTGTGATCCTGCAAAAACCACTAATCTGGCACCCTACAGGTCCCAATGATGCCGGATTAGTGTTGGTTGACCTGTAATGCTTCTCTCTCCGGCATGTTCAGTGTCCACTGAACGTGTTTTTGTGTTTTAGGAATCTAATCTATTTTCAAGCTGCAGTAAACAATGTGTCGCAAAAATCCCACTCTTGGAGGAGAGACTTCGTGTTTCAATCCATCCTGGACCACTGCCAAGTTGCAGCTGAATTGAAAATGGTCCAGAATGGACCATGACATCATTATGTTTCTCTCTTAATTATGGGTTTTTGGTTATCTGTTCCATCTATGGTATTGACATTTTTATGCAATAACATATCCTGGAATAAATCACAAAACTGTGGCTGGAAGCATTCACAACTAACCCACATTGTGTAAAGTATCCAGCTCTTGGTTCAGTTGTGAACACTTTCCTTTTCCACATTTCACCTAATATTCGTATACTTTGTGTGTGTGTGTGTGTGTGTACACTCACCTATTTGTACTCGCCTATTTGTGGTTGCAGGGGTCGATTCATAGCTCCTGGCCCCGCTTCTTCGCTGATTGCTACTAGGTCCTCTCTCTCCCTGCCCCATGAGATTTATCATACCTCGCCTTAAAACTATGTATGGTTCCCGCCTCCACTACATCACTTTCTAGGCTATTCCACGGCCTGACTACTCTGACTGAAGAAATACTTCCTAACAGCCCTTTGATTCATCTGAATCTTCAACTTCCAATTGTGACCTCTTATGTCTGTGTCCCTTCTCTGGAACATCCCGTCTTTGTCCACCTTGTCTATTCCGCGCAGTATTTTATATGTCGTTATCATGTCTCCCCTGACCCTCCTGTCCTCCAGTGTCGTCAGGCCGATTTCCCTCAACCTTTCTTCGTAGGACAATCCCCGTAGCTCTGGGACTAGTCTTGTTGCAAACCTTTGCACTTTCTCTAATTTCTTGACGTGCTTGACTAGGTGTGGATTCCAAACTGGTGCTGCATACTCCAGTATGGGCCTGACGTAAATGGTATACAGAGTCTTGAACGAATCCTTACTGAGGTATCGGAACGCTATCCGTAGGTTTGCCAGACGCCCGTATGCTGCAGCAGTTATCTGATTGATGTGCGCCTCAGGAGATATGCTCGGTGTTATACTCACCCCCAGATCTTTTTCCTTGAGTGAGGTTTGCAGTCTTTGGCCATCTAAACTATATTGTGTCTGCGGTCTTCTTTGCCCTTCCCCAATCTTCATGACTTTGCACTTGGCAGGGTTAAACTCAAGGAGCCAGTTGCTGGACCAGGCTTGTAGCCTGTCCAGGTCTCTCTGTAGTCCTGCCTGATCCTCATCCAATTTGATTCTTCTCATTAACTTCACATCATCTGCAAACAAGGACACTTCTGAGTCTATCCCTTCCATTATGTCGTTCACATATACCAAGAACAGCACAGGTCCTAGGACTGACCCCTGTGGAACCCCGCTTGTTACAGGTGCCCACTCTGACACCTCATCACGTACCATGACTCGTTGTTGCCTCCCTGTCAGGTATTCTCTGATCCATTGCAGTGCCTTTCCTGTTATGTGTGCCTGATCCTCTAGCTTCTGCAGTAACCTCTTGTGAGGAACTGTGTCGAAGGCCTTCTTGCTGTCCAAAAAAATGCAGTCGATCCGCCCCTCTCTTGTTTTACTCCTGTCACCTTGTCATAAAACTCTAGTAGGTTTGTGACACAGGATTTTCCTTCCCTGAAACCGTGCTGGTTGTCACTTATACACTTGTTTCTTTCCAGGTGCTCCACCACTCTCCTGATGATCTTCTCCATGACCTTGCATACTATACACGTTAGTGATACAGGTCTGTAGTTTAGTGCCTCATGTCTGTCTCCCCTTTTAAAAACTGGGACCACATTTGCCATCTTCCATACCTCAGGGAGTTGCCCAGTTTCAAATGATGTGTTGAAGATCTTTGTTAATGGCACACACTATCTCTACTCCCTCTTGAAGGACCCATGGAGAGATGTTGTCTGGTCCCACCGCCTTTGAGGTGTCAAGTTCGCATAGCAGCTTCTTCACCACCTCCTTGGTTATATGTACCTCATCCAGCACTTGCTGGTGTACCTCCCAGTTCTGATTTCCTGGAGTCCTACTGGTTTCCACTGTAAATACTTCTTTAAATCTCGTGTTGAGCTCCTGACATACCTCTCGGTCGTTTCTTGTGAATTCCCCATCACCCTTCCTCAGTCTGATTACCTGGTCCTTGACTGTTGTTTTCCTCTTGATGTGGCTGTACAGCAGCTTTGGGTCAGTCTTGACTTTCGATGCTATGTCATTTTCACATTGTCGCTGAGCCTCCCTTCTTATCTGTGCATATTCGCTTCTGGCTCTTTGGCTAATCTCTTTATTTTCCTGAGTTCTCTGTCTTCTGTACCTTTTCCATTCTCTAGTACACCTAGTTTTTGCCTCCCTACACCTTTGGGTGAACCAAGGACTCGTTCTGTTCTTCCCATTATTTCTGTTTCCCTTGGGAACAAACCTCTCCTCTGCCTCCTTGCATTTTGTTGCCACATAGTCCATCATTTCTTGTACTGGTTTTCCTGTCAGTTCCCTCTCCCACTGAATGTCTTGAAGGAAGTTCCTCATGCCTGAGTAGTTCCCCCTTTTGTAGTTTGGTTTTTCCCAACCTATTCCTGCTACTCTCTCCACTTGGAGCTCAACTATGTAGTCGAAGCACAGAACCACATGATCACTAGCTCCCAGGGGCCTTTCATACATGATATCCTCGATGTCTGAACTACTCAAGGTGAATACAAGGTCCAGTCTTGCTGGTTCATCCTCTCCTCTCTCTCTCTGGTAGTGTGTCTAACATGTTGATGCACGAGGTTTTCCAGTACCACATCCATCATCTTGGCTCTCCATGTTTTGGGACCCCCATGGGGCTCCAGGTTTTCCCAGTCAATCTCCTTGTGATTGAAATCACCCATAACTAGTAACTTTACTCTCCCCATGTGTGCTCTCCTGGCCACCTCGGCTAGTGTGTCAACCATTGCTCTGTTGCTCTCTTCGTATTCTTCTCGTGTGTGTGTGTGTGTGTGTGTGTGTGTGTGTGTGTGTGTGTGTGTGTGTGTTCAGCTTTTATCATCGAAGCTTACACATTCTGTGGAGCTCTAAATAATACAATAAAGATGCCCAGGTGTTGCACATGCCTTACTGAACTACTTGTTAGTACAGGAGGGCCTCACTTATACAGCAAATTAGGGTCTGGGCTACTGCTGTACTGGAGGGCCTCATTTATACAGCAGGTTAGGTTCTGGGCTGCTACTGTACAGGAGGGCCTCACTTGTACAGTCAATTAGGTTCTGGGCTGCTACTGTACAGGAGGGCCTCACTTGTACAGTCGATTAGGTTCTGGGCTGCTACTGTACAGGAGGGCCTCACTTGTACAGTCGATTAGGTTCTGGGCTACTGCTGTTCTGGAGGGCCTCACTTATACAGCAGGTTAGGTTCTGGGCTGCTACTGTACAGGAGGGCCTCACTTATACAGCAGGTTAGGTTCTGGGCTGCTACTGTACAGGAGGGCCTCACTTATACAGCAGGTTAGGTTCTGGGCTGCTACTGTACAGGAGGGCCTCACTTGTACAGCTGATTAGGTTCTGGGCTGCTACTGTACAGGAGGGCCTCACTTATACAGCAGGTTAGGTTCTGGGCTGCTACTGTACAGGAGGGCCTCACTTATACAGCAGGTTAGGTTCTGGGCTGCTACTGTACAGGAGGGCCTCACTTATACAGCAGGTTAGGTTCTGGGCTGCTACTGTACAGGAGGGCCTCACTTATCCAGCAAGTTAGGTTCTGGGCTGCTACTGTACAGGAGGGCCTCACTTACACAGCAGGTTAGGTTCTGGGCTGCTACTGTACAGGAGGACCTCACTTACACAGCAGGTTAGGTTCTGGGCTGCTACTGTACAGGAGGACCTCACTTACACAGCAGGTTAGGTTCTGGGCTGCTACTGTACAGGAGGACCTCACTTACACAGCAGGTTAGGTTCTGTGCTACTACTGTACAGGAGGGCCTCACTTACACAGCAGGTTAGGTTCTGGGCTACTACTGTACAGGAGGGCCTCACTTACACAGCAGGTTAGGGTCTGGGCTGCTACTGTACAGGAGGGCCTCACTTACACAGCAGGTTAGGTTCTGTGCTACTACTGTACAGGAGGGCCTCACTTGCACAGCAGGTTAGGGTCTGGGCTGCTACTGTACAGGAGGGCCTCACTTATACAGCAGGTTAGGGTCTGGGCTGCTACTGTACAGGAGGACCTCACTTACACAGCAGGTTAGGTTCTGTGCTACTACTGTACAGGAGGGCCTCACTTACACAGCAGGTTAGGGTCTGGGGTGCTACTGTACAGGAGGGCCTCACTTATACAGCAGGTTAGGGTCTGGGCTGCTACTGTACAGGAGGACCTCACTTACACAGCAGGTTAGGTTCTGTGCTGCTACTGTACAGGAGGGCCTCACTTACACAGCAGGTTAGGGTCTGGGCTGCTACTGTACAGGAGGACCTCACTTACACAGCAGGTTAGGTTCTGTGCTACTACTGTACAGGAGGGCCTCACTTACACAGCAGGTTAGGGTCTGGGCTGCTACTGTACAGGAGGGCCTCACTTACACAGCAGGTTAGGGTCTGGGCTGCTATTGTACAGGAGGGCCTCACTTACACAGCAGGTTAGGTTCTGGGCTACTACTGTACAGGAGGGCCCCACTTACACAGCAGGTTAGGTTCTGGGCTACTACTGTACAGGAGGACCTCACTTACACAGCAGGTTAGGTTCTGTGCTACTACTGTACAGGAGGGCCCCACTTACACAGCAGGTTAGGTTCTGGGCTACTACTGTACAGGAGGACCTCACTTACACAGCAGGTTAGGTTCTGTGCTACTACTGTACAGGAGGGCCCCACTTACACAGCAGGTTAGGTTCTGGGCTACTACTGTACAGGAGGACCTCACTTACACAGCAGGTTAGGTTCTGTGCTACTACTGTACAGGAGGACCTCACTTACACAGCAGGTTAGGGTCTGGGCTGCTACTGTACAGGAGGACCTCACTTACACAGCAGGTTAGGTTCTGGGCTGCTACTGTACAGGAGGACCTCACTTACACAGCAGGTTAGGTTCTGGGCTGCTACTGTACAGGAGGACCTCACTTACACAGCAGGTTAGGTTCTGGGCTGCTACTGTACAGGAGGACCTCACTTACACAGCAGGTTAGGTTCTGTGCTACTACTGTACAGGAGGGCCCCACTTACACAGCAGGTTAGGGTCTGGGCTGCTACTGTACAGGAGGACCTCACTTACACAGCAGGTTAGGTTCTGTGCTACTACTGTACAGGAGGACCTCACTTACACAGCAGGTTAGGTTCTGGGCTACTACTGTACAGGAGGACCTCACTTACACAGCAGGTTAGGTTCTGGGCTGCTACTGTACAGGAGGACCTCACTTACACAGCAGGTTAGGTTCTGGGCTGCTACTGTACAGGAGGGCCTCACTTATACAGCAGGTTAGGTTCTGGGCTGCTACTGTACAGGAGGGCCTCACTTACACAGCAGGTTAGGTTCTGGGCTACTACTGTACAGGAGGACCTCACTTACACAGCAGGTTAGGTTCTGGGCTGCTACTGTACAGGAGGGTCCCACTTACACAGCAGGTTAGGGTCCAGGCTACTACTTTTAAGTGAAAATCACTGTAAAGTGAAACATTGCCTTTTTTCATTCTCAAATGCATATAAAAGCCTGATAATATGTTTACACTATCATATATTAAGTGCACAGTAGAGCTAGGTCTAAAAATGCATGTACAGTACACACATTACTTAACCTTGAAATATTTTCATCCTTGGCTTATAGTGAGTGGTGAATATATTTGTTTTTGTAGGAAGTTTGAGTAAATGAAGAATGAGTAGACTTGAAAACCGCTGCATTAGTGAAACGCCGTAAAGCGGGGCCCTCCTGTATATGGAGAAGCTTTGTAAGACACCCAACTGAATCGTCAATTTTTTCATATATTTTGTAGTACTTAATTTTGTTTATTATAAAAATAATAATAGTAATAATAATAATAATACGTTAACCCTTAAACTGTCCAAACGGAGATCCACGTTTGCGCGCGTAGTGCTCCGACCTTAATTTCTCTTTAAGAAAGAATATAAGAAAAAAAGCATAGATCTACGTTTGGAGCGCTACAATAGCAAACGTCAATCTACGTTTGGACAATTTAAGGGTCAAGTCCCCAATGTACGAACAAGTCGAGACTAAAGTATTGTGTACTATATCATTATTATACACAATACAGGAGGTCCCTCTTGTGTATTTAAATTGAGGACTTACTAGTCGCTGTTTAGTCCTACTGGTTTAGTGCTCCCCCATGATTATTATATAATGAGGACTTACTGTATCAATTAAGATATTTTCAACTTGTAGCTAAAAAGCTTTTTAGAAAAAAATTGCAGCCCAATTCTTATACAATGGTACCTCAAGTTGCAAACTTAATTTGTTCCAGAAGGCTGTTTGAGTGCCGTTACTGAACGAATTTGTTCCCATAAGGGATAATGTAAATTAGATTAGTCTGTTTCAAACCCCCCAAAAACACACTTACAAAAGCACTAACAAAAATACACTTACATGATTGGTCGAGTTGGGAGCTGATCGAAGCTCGAGGTACCACTGCATATACTATATGGTGTCATTTTTCTATTGGTCCCCAGGTGATGGTTCCATTCGGTTCCATGGCATTCATGCCAGGGCGTCTCATTCACACTAATGAAATTTTAGTGCTCTTAGGCGACAACTGGTTCGCCGACCGCAGTGCTAAACAAGCATCCGACATTGTCCGCCGCAGACTGAAAGGTGTGTTGTACTGGATAATTGTTATTTTTATTATCAGTTATCTTGAGGCTTTATTGAGGAGTGTCACCCGATTGTGCATATTTTTCATTACTAAACATTTTGGAACATTTATTGCAATGTTGAACATTTCCAGACATTTTCATATTCAAATTGTTTATTTGGACATGATACATAGTTGTACGACGAATTATAATAGTTGGGTGTACATGCCAGAAGCCCCTTGTATGCAGAGCATTATGGGCAGGCTTAAAATTAACTTAAAATTAACAAGGCAGGGAAGGTTCAATGGTAAAATTACTGCAGTGTTGAACATTTCCAGACATTTACTGTGATGTTGAACATTTCCAGACATTTACTGCAGTGTTGAACATTTCCAGACATTTACTGCAATGTTGAACATTTCCAGACATTTACTGCAATGTTGAACATTTCCAGACATTTACTGCAGTGTTGAACATTTCCAGACATTTACTGCAGTGTTGAACATTTCCAGACATTTACTGCAGTGTTGAACATTTCCAGACATTTACTGCAGTGTTGAACATTTCCAGACATTTACTGTGATGTTGAACATTTCCAGACATTTACTGCAATGTTGAACATTTCCAGACATTTACTGCAATGTTGAACATTTCCAGACATTTACTGCAATGTTGAACATTTCCAGACATTTACTGCAATGTTGAACATTTCCAGACATTTACTGCGATGTTGAACATTTCCAGACATTTACTGCAATGTTGAACATTTCCAGACATTTACTGCAGTGTTGAACATTTCCAGACATTTACTGCAATGTTGAACATTTCCAGACATTTACTGCAGTGTTGAACATTCCAGACATTTACTGCAGTGTTGAACATTTCCAGACATTTACTGCAGTGTTGAACATTTCCAGACATTTACTGCAGTGTTGAACATTTCCAGACATTTACTGCAATGTTGAACATTTCCAGACATTTACTGCAGTGTTGAACATTTCCAGACATTTACTGCAGTGTTGAACATTCCCAGACATTTACTGTGATGTTGAACATTTCCAGACATTTACTGTGATGTTGAACATTTCCAGACATTTACTGCAATGTTGAACATTTCCAGACATTTACTGAAATGTTGAACATTTCCAGACATTTACTGAAATGTTGAACATTTCCAGACATTTACTGCAGTGTTGAACATTTCCAGACATTTACTGCAGTGTTGAACATTTCCAGACATTTACTGCAGTGTTGAACATTTCCAGACATTTACTGCAATGTTGAACATTTCCAGACATTTACTGTGATGTTGAACATTTCCAGACATTTACTGCAATGTTGAACATTTCCAGACATTTACTGCAATGTTGAACATTTCCAGACATTTACTGTGATGTTGAACATTTCCAGACATTTACTGCAATGTTGAACATTTCCAGACATTTACTGCAATGTTGAACATTTCCAGACATTTACTGCAATGTTGAACATTTCCAGACATTTACTGCAATGTTGAACATTTCCAGACTTTTACTGTGATGTTGAACATTTCTAGACATTTACTGTGATGTTGAACATTTCCAGACATTTACTGTGATGTTGAACATTTCCAGACATTTACTGTGATGTTGAACATTTCCAGACATTTACTGCAGTGTTGAACATTTCCAGACATTTACTGCAGTGTTGAACATTTCCAGACATTTACTGTGATGTTGAACATTTCCAGACATTTACTGCAGTGTTGAACATTTCCAGACATTTACTGTGATGTTGAACATTTCCAGACATTTACTGTGATGTTGAACATTTCCAGACATTTACTGCAGTGTTGAACATTTCCAGACATTTACTGTGATGTTGAACATTTCCAGACATTTACTGCAGTGTTGAACATTTCCAGACATCTACTGCAGTGTTGAACATTTCCAGACATTTACTGTGATGTTGAACATTTCCAGACATTTACTGCAGTGTTGAACATTTCCAGACATTTACTGTGATGTTGAACATTTCCAGACATTTACTGCAGTGTTGAACATTTCCAGACATTTACTGCAGTGTTGAACATTTCCAGACATTTACTGCAGTGTTGAACATTTCCAGACATCTACTGCAGTGTTGAACATTTCCAGACATTTACTGTGATGTTGAACATTTCCAGACATTTACTGCAGTGTTGAACATTTCCAGACATTTACTGTGATGTTGAACATTTCCAGACATTTACTGCAGTGTTGAACATTTCCAGACATTTACTGTGATGTTGAACATTTCCAGACATTTACTGCAGTGTTGAACATTTCCAGACATTTACTGTGATGTTGAACATTTCCAGACATTTACTGCAGTGTTGAACATTTCCAGACATTTACTGCAGTGTTGAACATTTCCAGACATTTACTGCAGTGTTGAACATTTCCAGACATTTACTGCAGTGTTGAACATTTCCAGACATTTACTGTGATGTTGAACATTTCCAGACATTTACTGCAGTGTTGAACATTTCCAGACATTTACTGTGATGTTGAACATTTCCAGACATTTACTGCAGTGTTGAACATTTCCAGACATTTACTGTGATGTTGAACATTTCCAGACATTTACTGCAGTACTGATCATTGAACATTTTCAGACAGCATTCAGTTTTCGTAAATTGATAAAAATGTCATATTATATTTTTCGGAAAGTTACAAGCCCCATTTACGATTCCTTTCAAAGGAGAAGGGATGGCTCAGTAAGATGAAGGCTCTTGTTCCAAGGAGTTAACACTGCCCTTACCTTGAATCAAACCTAATTTCATCTCATTTTACACGAGTTGTATAAATTTATTTTTAACACACTGGTAGTTACATTTAGTAATTTTTACAGAAGGGGTTACTATTCCCTTGCTCCTGGCATTTTAGTCGCCTCTTATGACACTCACGGCTTACGGAGGAAGAATTCTTTTCCACTTCCCCATGAAACCCTTTGTAAATACTTGAGGAGAAACTCTACTACACATTTGAATTGTACTTAAACGGCCCAAACAGATCGACGTTCAAATTCGTATTGCTGCAAAAGTAGATCTACTTTTTTTATATATATTTTCAAATATAACAAAAATAAATATAGATAAGTTTTTTTTACATGTTTTCAAATGTAAAATAAAAAAGATCATCTACATTTTTTTATATACTTTCAGATGTTGAAAAAACGTATATATACGTTTGGACCGTTTAAGGGTTAAACGGTCCAAACAGATCGACGTCCAAATTCGTAGTGCTACAAAAGTAATCTAATTTTTTTTACATATTTTCAAATATAAAAAAAAAAAATGTAGATAAGTTTTTTTTACACGTTTTCAAATGTAAAACAAAAAAGATCAACATTTTTTTACATTCAGAAGTTGAAAAAACGTATACGTATATACGTTTGGACCATTTAAGGGTTAATAGCCGATTTTCACTCGCCAGTCTGTCTGGAATTTCTGTTTTGAGCTTTATTCCCTGCATTTACACAAACATGCTGATGTGCAATATGAATACAAGATAACCCACACATAACCCGTAAACAGTCCAAACGTATATATATACATTTTTACCGCTAGTGCCCCAAACGTATATATACGTTTTATGTGTCCTACATTTAACATTGCCACGATAAGCCTGAGTCACCTAGACATGTTGCCACGATAAGCCTGAGTCACCTAGACATGTGAGAATGGGTGTGAGCACTCACTGTGCACCTTATTAAAATAATTGGGGATGCCTAGGTACCATATGCTTTTTTTTTTCCTATTAAAAAACAACAATGTTTTTTTTCTCAAAAAAGTTGGGGCAGTACGGTAGTGAACGTATATATACGTTTGGACCGTTTACGGGTTAATAGAGAGGAGCTTATGACTGTTTTGGTCTGACTTGGACCATTTATAAGTGCACAATGTGAAAATTGTTAGCAATGTGTTTTGCTGATTAACCATAATGTGCATTGTCAGTTTATTTAGGTACAGGTACACACAAGTACAATTATCATGCATAGTTTAACATTGCAAGACTAGCTGGTGACACTAGCTGGCTGGCTAGTGTCACCACTCCACTATGAGAAAACTTCCCCTCATTTCTTCCGTTGCTACTCTTGCAACATTGCATAGCTCTTGATACACAGAGACCTCGTCTGTCTGTGATTGAATTGCGTAGTTTAACTTGTATCAGTTACCTAGGATAACCTAGAAAAATTAATTTTGACGTTACCCCCCTGGAAGGTTTTACAAACGGAAAGTAGACATCGAGTTGGAGGGGCAGGGTATAGGCGAAAGGCTTTTCAGTCTATTTTGTATTGGAAAATTGTTCTGTGAACATTCCTAAGTGAAAGTGGGTTGGGGTCAGCTATAACTGTATCAGCAGACTAGGAATATTGGTTGTAGTGGCTTCCCAGGAGGTGACAGTGATGATTCAACATAGTACCAAATGTTTATGAACATTTGGTACCTTGAAAAGGGGTATGGTGATACCAGCAAGATGTGGCAAGACACTTGTGTACTGTTCAAAGCATTTGTTAGAGGAAATGTCTTGCGTCGAGTGGCTTCTTCAGTCCTAATTAGACCTGGAAAAAAACTGTATAAGTTGTATCATGTACTTTTTTTTTTTCAACAAGTCGGCCGTCTCCCACCGAGGCAGGGTGACCCAAAAAGAAAGAAAAAATCCCCAAAAAGAAAAAAATTTTCATCATTCAACACTTTCACCTCACTCACACATAATCACTGTTTTTGCAGAGGTGCTCAGAACACAATAGTTTAGAAGTATATACGTATAAAAATACAAAATATATCCCTCCAAACTGCCAATATCTCAAACCCCTCCTTTAGAGTGCAGGCATTGTACTTCCCATTTCCAGGACTCAAGTCCGATTATATAAAATAACCGGTTTCTCTGAATCCCTTCACTAAATATTACCCTGCTCACACTCCAACAGCTAGTCAGGTCCCAAATACCATTTGTCTCCATTCACTCCTATCTAACACGCTCACGCACGCTTGCTGGAAGTCCAAACCCCTCGCCCACAACACCTCCTTTACCCCGTCCCTCCAACCTTTTCAAGGATGACTCCTACCCCGCCTTCCTTCCCCTACAGATTTATACGCTCTCCATGTCATTCTACTTTGATCCATTCTCTCTAAATGGCCAAACCACCTCAACAAACCCTTTTCAGCCCTCTGACTAATACTTTCATTAACTCCACACCTTCTCCTAATTTCCACACTCCAAATTTTCTGCATAATATTTACACCACACATTGCCCTTAGACAGGACATCTCCACTGCCTCCAACCGCCTCCTCGCTGCAGCATTTACAACCCAAGCTTCACACCCATATAAGAGTGTTGGTACTACTATACAGTGCACCCTCGACCAGCGATGGCATCGATTAATGATAAATCTGACTAGCGATACATTTTATCGCAAAAATTTTGTCTCGATTAGCACTAAAAAACTCGACCAACACTATTCCTTCCGTCTGAGACGCGTCCACTTCTGGCCAGTATTTACAAGCCAGCCAGCCACCGCGGTCGCTTCCAAGCATACAATCGGAACATTTCATATTATCACAGCCTTTTTAGTGATTGCACCTGCCAAATAAGTCACCATGGGCCCCAAGAAAGCTTCTAGTGCCAACCCTACAGCAAAAAGGGTGAGAATTACTATGGATATGAAGAAAGAGATCATTGCTAAGTATGAAAGTGGAGTGCATGTCTCCGAGCTGGCCAGGCTGTACACAAAACCCCAATCAACCATCGCTACTATTGTGGCCAAGAAAACGGCAATCAAGGAAGCTGTTCTTGCCAAAGGTGCAACTATGTTTTCGAAACTGAGATCGCAAGTGATAGAAGATGTTGAGAGACTGTTATTGGTATGGATAAACGAAAAACAGATAGCAGGAGATAGCATCTCTCAAGCGATCATATGTGAAAAGGCTAGGAAGTTGCATGACGATTTAATTAGAAAAATCCCAGCAACTAGTGGTGATGTGAGTGAATTTAAGGCCAGCAAAGGTTGGTTTGAGAGATTTAAGAATCGTAGTGGCATACATAGTGTGATAAGGCATGATGAGGCTGCCAGTTTGGACCAAAAAGCAGCTGAAAAATATGTGCAGGAATTCAAGGAGTACATAGACAGTGAAGGACTGAAACCTGAACAAGTGTTTAATGGTGACACTGACAATGTTGTGAAACACGTTAGGAATGTCATAAAGGAATGGGAGGTACAGGCCTCTATGGGCAGATATGTTGTGCGACAGAGGTCCAGTGACTCTCAAGCTGGTCCTAGTGGCATTAAAAGAAGGGAAGTAACCCCGAAAAAGGACTTGCCACCTCAAGTCCTAATGGAAGGGGATTCCCCTTCTAAACACTAAGACCATCAACACACTCCCCTCTTCCCATCCCATCAATCATCACCAGATCTTCAATAAAGGTAAGTGTCATGTAACTGTGCCTGTCTTCTTCAGTTTGTGTGTATTAAAATTAATATTTCATGTGTTAAAAATTTTTTTTTTCAATACTTTTGGGTGTCTTGCACGGATTAATTTGATTTCCATTATTTCTTATGGGGAAAATTAACTTGACTAACGATTATTTTGACTAACGATGAGCTCTCAGAAACGAATTAATAGTGTTAGTCGAGGGTCCACTGTACTTTCATACATTCCTTTCTTTGCCTCCTTAGATAACATTTTTTGCCTCCACATATACCTCAATGCACCACTCACCTTTTTTCCTTCATGAATTCTATGATTAACCTCATCCTTCATAAATCCATCCGCTGACACGTCAACTCCCAAATATCTGAAAACATTCACTTCTTCCATACTCCTCCTCCCCAATTTGATATCCAGTTTTTCTTTATCTAAATCATTTGATACTCTCATCACCTTACTCTTTTCTATGTTCACTTTCAACTTTCTACCTTTACATACACTCCAAATTCGTCCACTAACCTTTGCAATTTTTCTTTAGAATCTCCCATAAGCACAGTATCATCAGCAAAAAGTAACTGTGACATTTTCCATTTTGTATTTAATTCCCAGTAATTTAATCCTACCCCTCTCCCTAACAACCCCATCTATAAATATATTAAATAACCATGGTGACATTACACATCCCTGTCTGACTTACTTTTACCGGGAAGTAGTCTCCCTCTCTTCTACACACCCTAACCTGAGCCTCACTATCCTCATAAAAACTCTTTACAGCATTTAGTAACTTACCACCTATTCCATATACTTGCAACATCTGCCACATTGCTCCTCTATCCACTCTATCATATGCCTTTTCTAAATCCATAAATGCAATAAAAACTTCCCTACCTTTATCTAAATACTGCTCACATATTTGCTTCAATGTAAACACTTGATCTACACATCCCCTACCCACTCTAAAACCTCCTTGCTCATCCGCAATTCTACATTCTGTCATACCTCTAATTCTTTCAATAATAACCCTACTGTACACTTTTCCTGGTATACTCGGTAAACTTATTCCTCTATAATTTTTACAATCTCTTTTGTCCCCCTTTCCTTTATATAAAGGGACTATACATGTTCTCCGCTAATCCCTAGGTACCTTCCCCTCTTTTGTACATTAAACAAAAATACCAACCATTCCAACACTGTCCCCCGCTGCTTTTAACATTTCTATCATGATCCTGTCAGTTCCAGCTGCTTTACCCCCTTTCATTCTACTAAATGCCTCGTGCACCTCCCTCACACTCGCATCCTGCTCTTCTTCACTCCTAAAAGATGGTATACCTCCCTGGCCAGTGCATGAAATTACCACCTCCCTTTCTTTGTTGACATTTAAATGTTCCTCAAAATATTCTTGCCATCTACCCAAAACCTCCATCTCCCCATCTACTAACTCCCCTTCTCTGTTTTTAACTGACAAATCCATTTATTCCCTAGGCTTTCTTAACTTGCTTAACTCCAAAACTTTTTCTTATTTTCACTAAAATTTCTTGACAGTGCCTCTCCCACTCTATCATCTTACCTCCTTTTGCACTCTCTCACAACTCTCTTCACCTTTCTTTTACTCTCCATATACTCTGCTCTTCTTATAACACTTCTGCTTTGTAAAAACCTCTCATAAGCTAACTTTTTCTCTTTTATCACACCCTTTACTTCATCATTCCACCAATCACTCCTCTTTCCTCCTGCACCCACCCTCCTATAACCACAAACTTCTGCCCCACATTCTAATACTGCATTTTTAAAACTATTCCAACCCTCTTCAACCCCCCCACTACTACTCATACCTGCACCAGCCCACCTTTCTGCCAGTAGTTGCTTATATTTCACCCGAACTTCCTCCTCCCTTAGTTTATACACTTTCACCTCCCTCTTACTTGTTGTTGCCATTTTCCTCGTATCCCATCAACCTCTTACTCTAACTGTAGCTGCTACTAGATAATGATCCGATATATCAGTTGCCCCTCTATAAACGTGTACATCCTGGAGCCTACCCATCAACCTTTTATCATGTACTTTTAGAAATATATTATTATAAAGTTGGGTAATTTTAAGGAGATGTGTGATTAATTTTGCAACAAAGCTGTAGATGAGTGGAATAAACTAACAAGTAGTCATTGAAGCTAACTCTTTAGGCAGCTATAAAACTAGCTTTTTGATCATTTTTTAAAATCTGTTGTGTTCAATAATAAAGCCCACGTGGAGATAACCCAACGGTACGGGTGGGGTTAGAACTCATAGTAAGCGAGTCGTAAAATTCCGTACCAGTATGTAAGCCACTGGGCCAGCTGGCTACAAGAAGATTCGTCCAACTAGGTATATTTATACACCATAGAGAGGTTAGCATGGGTCACCACTGTGACTACAAATGCAAGTTTTTACTGATGAATCTTCCACCAGCAAGGCAGTGATGAACTCTAGCTCATGTCCCTTCAGCCATGCCATGACTCTGTAATAACTTGCATTTGTGGTTATAGTGGTGGCCCATGCTAACCTCCCTATGGTGTATAAATATATACCTAGTTGGATGATTGTTTTTGTAGCCAGGCGGCCCCGTGGCTTACACACTGGCCTTTAGTGTTACCTCTCGCTTGCCATGAGTTCTAACCCCTCATCTACCGTGGTTCGTTTGCAATGGTATTATGATATTGAGTCACATCTCACTTGGAAATGGAAACACAGAATATTAATTGGTCTGTATATTTTGATCCCCTTCTGGAGTCCACTTCAGTAGAAGGTCCCAGCAGAGGGTTGAAATACACAAACCAATAATTCTTGTGTGTTTTCGTCTCTGTGGGTTATTATTGAGCATTGCAAAAATGTTCATTACACTTCAGTTTTCATCTCTTGATACACTTTAGTCACCTGTTTAATTCTTAAGACTATATGCTTACCTGAAAGTGTTTCAGACTGCGACGAGAAGATCAAAACTGCGGAGAGTGCCAGGAAAGTCCATAGCAATATTTTGAAGCAGATCGAGGAGGTGCTGGGTGGGGAGGCTGGCGAGCAGGTGGAGATAATAGAGGAACTCACAGAGGAACAGTTTATCAAGAGTCAAGGTATACCCAAACGTTGATAAATTAAGAGTGCAACACTTTGGTATCTTTAGTGTGGTACTGTTTCCCCATACAATGATACCAGTTCCAGGTATTGGACTGATGATACCAGTTCCAGGTACTGGACTGATTATATCAGTCCAGTACCTGGAACTGGTATTATCAGCCCAGTACCTGGAACTGGTATCAGTCCAGTACCTGGAACTGGTATCATCAGTCCAGTACCTGGAACTGGTATCATCAGTCCAGTACCTGGAACTGGTATCATCAGTCCAGTACCTGGAACTGGTATCATCAGCCCAGTACCTGGAACTGGTATCATCAGCCCAGTACCTGGAACTGGTATCATCAGCCCAGTACCTGGAACTGGTATCATCAGCCCAGTACCTGGAACTGGTATCATCAGCCCAGTACCTGGAACTGGTATCATCAGCCCAGTACCTGGAACTGGTATCATCAGCCCAGTACCTGGAACTGGTATCATCAGCCCAGTACCTGGAACTGGTATCATCAGCCCAGTACCTGGAACTGGTATCATCAGCCCAGTACCTGGAACTGGTATCATCAGCCCAGTACCTGGAACTGGTATCATCAGCCCAGTACCTGGAACTTGGTATCATCAGCCCAGTACCTGGAACTGTATCATCAGCCCAGTACCTGGAACTGGTATCATCAGCCCAGTACCTGGAACTGGTATCATCAGTCCAGTACCTGGAACTGGTATCATCAGTCCAGTCCCTGGAACTGGTATCATCAGTCCAGTACCTGGAACTGGTATCATCAGTCCAGTACCTGGAACTGGTATCATCAGCCCAGTACCTGGAACTGGTATCATCAGTCCAGTACCTGGAACTGGTATCATCAGTCCAGTACCTGGAACTGGTATCATCAGTCCAGTACCTGGAACTGGTATCATCAGTCCAGTACCTGGAACTGGTATCATCAGCCCAGTACCTGGAAAATGGTATCATCAGTCCAGTACCTGGAACTGGTATCATCAGTCCAGTACCTGGAACTGGTATCATCAGTCCAGTACCTGGAACTGGTATCATCAGTCCAGTACCTGGAACTGGTATCATCAGTCCAGTACCTGGAACTGGTATCATCAGTCCAGTACCTGGAACTGTATCATCAGTCCAGTACGGGAAATGGTATCATCAGTCCAGTACTGAAATGGTATCATCAGTCAGTACCTGGAACTGGTATCATCAGTCCAGTACCGGGAACTGGTATCATCAGTCCAGTACCTGGAAACGGGTTTATCATCAACCCAGTACCTGGAACTGGTATCATCAACCCAGTACCTGGTACTGGTATCATCAGCCCAGTACCTGGAACTGGTATCATCAGCCCAGTACCTGGAACTGGTATCAGCCCAGTACCTGGAACTGGTATCATCAGCCCAGTACCTGGAACTGGTATCATCAGCCCAGTACCTGGAACTGGTATCATCAGTCCAGCACCTGGAACTGGTATCATCAGTCCAGCACCTGGAACTGGTATCATCAGTCCAGCACCTGGAACTGGTATCATCAGTCCAGCACCTGGAACTGGTATCATCAGTCCAGTACCTGGAACTGGTATCATCAGCCCAGCACCTGGAACTGGTATCATCAGCCCAGCACCTGGAACTGGTATCATCAGCCCAGCACCTGGAACTGGTATCATCAGCCCAGCACCTGGAACTGGTATCATCAGTCCAGTACCTGGAACTTAACCTGCTTATACAGCAGGTTAAGTTCCAGGCTACTGCTGTAAAGTGAAACACAGCCGTTTTCCACTTTAAATGCATATAAAAGCCTGGTAACATGTTTACACTATCATATATTGAGTAATAGAGCTAGGCCTAAAATATGCATATACAGTACAGTACACACATACCTTCAAATATTGTTGTCCTTATCTTAGTCAGTGGTGAATATGTTCATTATAATAAGTCTGAATAAGTGAAAAATGGGTGTCATTGAAAACTGCTGCATTAGCGATCAGTGTAAAGCAGGGCAGTGTAAATCACCCTGCTTTACAACAGGGCGCTTTAACCCTTTGACTGTTTCATTTGTATATATACTTCTTACGAGGTACCGTGTTTGATGTATATATACAGTGGACCCTCGACTTTCGTGAAATTCGACCTTTGGCGAGTTTTTTTGGAAAAATTTGGCCTAGAGTTTCGTGAAAATACTCGTGTTTTGGCGACCGTCTGGTACCCGTCCGCCCATCACCGCGCGCACAAAGCCAGTCTCCCACGCCATTCACGCTCAGTGTGCCATTGTTTACCAACACGTGACCATCACCCCACGGGTTCATATGTAATAATCCATTGTTTTTTGTGATTACAACTGCTAAATAAGTCACCATGAGCCCAAGGAAAGCTAATGCAAGCCCTTTGGTAAAGAAAGTGAGGAACATGATCGAATTCAAGAAGGAAATCACTGAAAAATATGAGAGTGGAGCGCGTGTTACAGAGCTTTCCAGGATGTATGGCAAGCCCCATTCAACCATCACTTCGATCGTGGCGAAAGGAAAGGAAATAGTGTGCTGTTGTTGCAAAAGGGGTGGATATGCTGACAAAAAGGAGATCACAAATCCTCGAAGAAGTGGAGAGGTTATTGTTGGTGTGGATTACCGAAAAACAGTTAGTAGGAGATAGTGTTACGCAGTCAAAAATGTGAAAAGGCAAGGCAGTTGCATGACGATCTCGTAAAGAACATGCCTGTAACAAGTGGTGATGCTTGTGATTTTAAGGCCAGCAAAGGTTGGTTTGAGAGATTTAAGAAGCGTAGTGGCATACACAGTGTGATAAGGCATGGTGAGGCTTCCAGTTCTGACAAAAAAAGCAGCTGAGAAGTTTGTACAGGAGTTTAAGGAGTGCGTAGACACTGGAGAATTCAAACCCCAGCAAGTGTTTAATTGTGACGAAACAGGCCTCTTCTGGAAGAAAATGCCAAAGAGGACCTACATCACGCAGGAAGAAGTGGCACTCCCAGGACACAAGCCTATGAAAGACAGGCTAACTCTCATGTTTTGTAGTAATGCTAGTGGGGATTTTAAAGTGAAGCCTTTACTGGTGTATCACTCTGAAAATCCCAGAGTGTTCAAGAAATAGTGTCACCAAGAGTAACTTGTGTGTGATGTGGAAGGCTAACAGTAAGGCATGGGTCACAAGGGGAATTTTTCTAGACTGGTTTAATTAATGAAGTGTTTGGCCCCAGTGTGAAGAAATACCTCCTGGAAAATAAATTGGCCTCCTGGTAATGGACAATGTTCCTGCTCATCCTCCAGACTTGGAAGAGCAAATAGTGGAGGAGTTTAGTTTCATCATGGTGAAGTTCTTGCCCCCTAATACAACTCCTCTCATCCAGGTCATTTCAAACCTCAAAAAAATGTACACCAAAGCAGTGTTTCAGAAGTGCTTTGAAGTGACCTCAGACACTGAATTGACCCTAAGAGAGTTATGGAAAGATCACTTAAATATCCTCACTTGCATAAACCTTATAGGTAAGTCTTGGGAGGGAGTGACTTCCAGGACTTTGAACTCTGCTTGGAGAAATTTGTGGCCAGATTGTGTACGAGAGGGATTTTGAAGGGTTTGTGGCTGACCCTGAGGAACCTATGCCAGTTGTGGGAACTATTGTGGCATTGGGGATGTCCCTGGGGTTGAAGATGAGTGGTGAAGATGTGGAAGAGGTGGTGGAGGACCACAGGGAAGAGCTAACCACTGAAGAGCTGCAAGAGCTTCATCTGCAACAGCAAGAGATCACAGCTCAGGAAACTGCTGCAGAGGAGGAGAAAGAGAGATGGAGGAAGGTGCCTTCTTCAAAAATTAAGGACATTTGTGCAAAGTGGACTGAAGTGCAGACATTTATGGATGAACTTCACCCTAACAAAGCTGTTGCAAGCCGTATTGGCAACATGTACAATGACAGTGTTGTGTCCCACTTCAGGAAAATCTTAAACGCCAGAAACAGACCTCTCTGGACAGATATTTTGTGCGACAGGGGTCCAGTGACTCTCAAGCTGGTCCCAGTGGCATTAAAAGAAGTGAAGTAACCCCAGATATGGACTTCATACCTGAAGTCCTAATGGAAGGAGATTCTCCTTCCAAAAAATAGTGTACACTTTCCTCCTATCCCCTCCTCCCATCTTCGATCCACGCAGAAGTCTTCAGTAAAGGTAAGTGTAATGCTATTTTTTTTTTTAACTGGATGTACTTGATTTATGATTGTTTTCATTATGTAAATCTTTATTTAATTTGAAACAAAAAATTTTATTTTAATATTTTTGGGTGTGTGGAACGGATTAATTTTATTCCCATTATTTCTTATGGGGAAAATGGTTTCAAGTTTCGTGAATTTCGACCTTCGGCGGGGTCTCGGGAACGGATTAATCACGAAACTCGGGGTTCCACTGTACTCATAAATTCTAGCGGCTTAAAATCAAGCAGGAGAAAGCTGGTAGGCCCACATGTGAGAGAATGGGTCTGTGTGGTCAGTGTGCACCATATAAAAAAAATCCTGCAGCACGCAGTGCATAATGAGAAAAAACAACTATGACCGTTTTTTTTAATTAAAATGCCGACTTTGTGGTCTATTTTCGTATAATATTTATGGTTGTATTCTCGTTTTCTTGGTCTCATTTGATAGAATGGAAAACATATAGAAATAGAGGTGATTTTGATTGATTTTACTATAAAAAGAACCTGGAAATGGAGCTCAAAGTACAGGAAATGTTTGATTTTTGCCAATGTTCAAAAGTAAACAAATGATGTCATTGTCCAATAAATGTCCAACTAGCCATTCTAATATGCAGTCATGAATGGGTTGATGTTATTTATACAATTATTACAATATTGCAGTAGTCTGCATAATAGTAAATCTTCTATTTTTTGTTTAAATAAAAATTCAAAATAGAAAGCAAGAGTAATATCAGAGGAGCCTGGAGACATAACTGATGAACAAAGAAAATGTTATTTTAGAGCCAGGAATGTCTGCATTGTTTATCTGGACCTTATTTTGAAATTGTCAAATTTTTTAATTTTCGTGAAATTGGCCAAATTGCAAATTTCTGACCATGTTATTGGGTAGTTGAAATCGGTAAATGGGCAGTTTCTTGTACTCAATCGATAGAAAAAGCGAAGTTCTAAAGAAATAGTTATGAGTTTGGCTGACTGGAACAATGGAATTAGTCGAAAATAGGACTCGGTGGGCAAAATCGCCAATTTGTAAATATCGCCGAGGTCGCTAAGTTCGCGAGAGCGTAATTCCGTCGTTTTTCCATCAAATTTTGTTTTTTTTGGTGTCATTACAATTGGGAAAAGATTCTCTATCATTTAACCCTTTCAAGGTCCGTCCCGTAGATCTACGGCTTTACGGTGAGTGTCCAAACCGTAGATCTACGCCATGAGCTCAGCTCACTCTGATGAACTGTGAGTGGTACATTTGGGCCTAGATATGAGAGAATACATCTATGTGGTATGTGTGCACCACATAAAACAGATCCTGCAGCACACTGTGTATAATGAGAGAAAAAAACTGAAATCATGATTTTTCGATTAAAACAGCGACTTTGCAGTGTTTTTTCGTATGCTTTTTATAGTTGTATTTGCGATTTCTTGGTCTCATTTAATAGAATGGAAGACATATTACAGAAATAGAGATGATTTTGATTGGTTTTAGCACTGGAAATGGCTTGAAACTGAGCTCAAAGTAGCAAAAATGTTAAATTTTTGCCGATATTCAAGAGTAAATAAACGACCTCACACGTCTAATACACATCAGCTGGTGGGTCTAATATACATTCACAAATATGGTGATGATATTTATACAATTATTACAGTATTGCATAACAGTAAATCTTCTATTTTTTGGTGTGAATAAAAATTCATTATGTGAATAAAAAATCAAAATGGAATTTATTTGTAAAGCCTCAAAATGTAACTAATGAACAGAGGAAATGTTAGTTTAGTTCCAGGAATACCTACATTGTTTATTCTGGACCCTATTTTTAAATTTGAATATTTTGAACTTTGTGTTAAATTGGCCAAATTAACAATTTCCGATCACTTTATTTTGTAGTTGAAACAGTTGACTTGGCGATTTCTTGTGCTCAATCGATAGAATAGAAGTAATACTAGTGAAATAGCTAAGAATTTGGTTGATTGGAATAATGTAATTGGCCTAAAATGGGAGTCAAAGTCGGCAAAATCGCCGATTCGTAAATATCGCTGACACATCAAAATTCGCGAGAGCATAATTTCGTCAATTTTCCACCAAATTTCGTACTTTTTGTTTTATTACCTTCACAAAAAGATTCTCTACGATTTCATAAGAAAAAATAAATTTTTTTTTTTTTTTTAAATTCTTGGACACTGGTGCGTGACTTCAGATTTTGGCCTTGGACCCTGAAAGGGTTAATAAAAAAAAATTTTTTTTTTTTTTTTAAATTTTGCGACACCAGGAGACACCTCAGGATTGGGGTTTGTGACAGTCAAGGGGTTAATTTTCTTATTGTTTTTCTGTTAATTTTGTTGTTTTTGTGTTGTATATTTCTTTTACATGGCTATGAGCACTGAATTATCATTGCAGTCACACTGCTTTATAAATGTTATTGCTACTGCTTAACTAATGCATTAGTAGAGAATGTAAACTAAATATATATTTGTAAATTACAGAAGAACACAGAAAGAAAGTCGCTAGTTTCTTCAGCAAGCAAAAGGAAAGTGCATCTGATGCTGAGGCTGGCAGCAGTAGCAGCAGCACTTTGTCGTATCCTGAATACATGGACAGGCTTTCGCAAGAACACAGGCTATCTTACGAAGATATTATGAAGCGATTAGACCAACTTGAGCTAGAGGAGGAGGAAGAGGAAGAGGAGGAGGAAGAGGAGGGGGAGGGGTAAGTATATATTCCTTGTTTTGAGGTTTGATTTATACTCCCTTCAGGGTTAGCTTGACCCTTAAACTGTCCAAACGTAGATTTACGTTCGCTCGCATAGCGCTCCGAACGTAGATCTACTTTTGGACAGTTGAAAGGTTAATATCTGTATTATACACCACATAACCATCCTCTGGGTGGTGGTTACAAGATTAGATACATAACCCCTTCTCCTTTTAAAATGCCATTATGGTATGCTCCTCACTTAGCAACGCATTCGTTTACCGACGTGGTTTTAGGAATGGCACTCCATCGTTAAGTGAGGAGAGGCTGTACAGTGGACCCCCGCTTCACGATCACCTCCCAATGCCACCAATTATGTAACTGTATTTATGTAAGTGCATTTGTACGTGTATGTTTGGGGATCTGAAATGGACTAATCTTCACAATATTTCTTATGGGAGCAAATTCGGTCAGTACTGGCACCTGAACATACTTCTGGAATGAAAAAATATCGTTAACCGGGGGTTTACTGTATTTTCAACACGCTACTTGTATCCCCTGTATTCCTGAGCACTGCATCTTGTTTTTCAGAGAAGCTGGAAGTGAAGACACTGAAGAGTGTGAGGAAGATGATGAGAAGGAAGTGAAGTTTGATAATGAGATTAGTGATGAAGAAAGAACTATGGGTAGTGAGGGTGAGATGGATGAGAGTAGTAGAGCAAAGAGAGCCAAACTTAAGAGACGGGTATCTTGGGCGGACGATGTGCGCACCCTCTTCACCGTAATCCCAGATGACGACAGTGAAGACATCTGCCGCATTAAATACTCCAGCAAGCCGCTGTCCCTTCCTCTGGCAGAACTGTCAATGGAAGGGCTCGATAGAACTGATGGTACGGCCGAAAATATTCAGAGTCCTTCTGATATTTATAAAGTCTTTGCTCAAGGGGCATCTGCACCAGAGCCGCAGCCTCGAGGAATACTTAAAAAATCTGCATCACTTCCCATACAAGGTAACTTGAATTGTATATATTACTGATGGGCCCCGCTTATACACCAGGTTAGGTTCCAGGCTACTGCTGTACAGGAGGGCCTCACTTATACAGCAGGTTAGGTTCCAGGCTACTGCTGTACAGGAGGGCCTCACTTATACAGCAGGTTAAGTTCCAGGCTACTGCTGTACAGGAGGGCCTCACTTATACAGCAGGTTAAGTTCCAGGCTACTGCTGTCGAGTGAAAATTTCTTTATCAATTTCAAATGCATATAAAAGCCTGATAACATGTTTATACTATCATATATTTAGTGAGAAATAGAGCTAGGCCCAAAAGATGAATATACAGCACACACATTACTTACTGTAAAATATTTTTATTCTTAGCTTATAGCGAGTGATGAATATATTTATTGTAGAAAGTCTGGATAAATGAAGAATGGGTATAATTGATAACTGCTGCATTAGTGAAATTCCATAAAGTAAAGTGCTGTAAAGCAGGGCCCTCCTCTACCTGATACCTATGAGGGACTTAGATATTTGGCACTGGAGCTACTCTCTCCATCCCTGGATCAGACCAGATAACCTTTTATTAAAGTGCCGTGTGACCCACGTGATTTTAGCACTTCCTAATGATTTTTTCTACCTCAGTGACCATCTGTAAAGGCAGGGCAAACCAAAGGAAAAATGCATTAATCATCATTCCTGAGTGTTGGCACTGCACCTCCCACCAGAGGACTCCAGTCCAGCTAACTAGTTTTCATGGATCCCTTCATAAAAGTTACATTAGTCACTCTGACAGAACGTGAATTAAAAACTGTATGTCTCCTTGCATTCCTGATACTTTTTCAAGCCTGCCCCTAAAACTCAAAACCTCTTTTGCCCCTACTGTTCCTGGGATGACCACTATCCCTTGTACCTTCCACTCCAGATTTATACACCCTTTGTCAACCTATCCCTCCCCATCTTTGCATGCCCAAATCACCTCAACAATCCATCCTCAGTCCTTTGGTGACCCCCATCACCTTTTCTACACTCTGAATTCTCTCCATAATATTTGCACCACACATTACTCTGAACATGACATCTCCACTACTCCTAGCCTCCTTGTTACAGCATTCAGAATGCATCCTTCTCACCCATGTGTGAGTGTTGGTACCATATAACTGGGTGTTCCAGGGGTCAATGCCCCTGGAGCCCAGTCCATGACTAGGCCTTGCAGTGGATCAGTGTCTGATCGACAAGGCAGGATTGCTGATCTTTTATTTCTCATAAACACACAAGGTGACAAGTAAAGTTTACAAATTAATATACACCTACCATCCGACTTACAACCTGCTCGACTTACGACCATTCGACTTACGGCCGTGTTTATGCCAAATTTCTGGGAAATAAACAACTATTTGCGTTGTACATAGTGTTTATCCTAAACCTTACAGTATAAAATACAGTACTAACAACATAAAAAGTAAAGTAAAACATGAAATACCAAAATAAAACAACAAAATAAAGTCATTACAAAAATGTTATGTTGATATTCAGTAGTAAAGTTCGACTTACGGCCAGTTTCTCGGAACCGAACTCGGTCGTAAGTCGGATGGTAAGTGTACTTCCATTCATTATACACTTACATTTCCTGTCTGCTTCTTAATAGTTTTTCAACCCACCGGTAGTATCCCACCAAGGCAGGGTGACCTGAAAAAGAAAAGTTTTTAATTTTTTTTATTAACTCGTCAGCCAGTTTCCGCCTTCCCTCCGCTACAGATTAACCCTTTCACTTTCGGCCTCATAATAATACGGCTTGCAAGCCAGTGTCGGTCCCATAATACTACGCCAAAATTCTAGCGCCTTCAAATCTGGCGAGAGAAAGCTAGTAGGCCTATATGTGAGAGAATGGGTCTGTGTGCTCAGTGTACACAGTATAAAAAGAAATCCTGGAGCACGCAGTGCATAATAAGAAAAAACTCCATGTTTTTGGCTTAAAACAATGAATTTGCAGTGTTTTTTTGTATGGTATTTATGGTTGTATTCTTGTTTTCTTGGTCTCATTTGATAGAATGGAAGATATATTACAGAAATAGCGATGATTTTGATTGACTCAAGAAATCGTAATGACACGATTGCAAATAAACCATACCCCCGGCCGGGATTGAACCCGCGGTCATAGACGGGCTGGAGTTTTGAGACTCTATGACCGCGGGTTCAATCCCGGCCGGGGGTATGGCTTTTTTGATGATTTTGATTGGTTTCACGATGAAAAGTACCTTGCAATTGAGCTCAAACTAGCGGAAATGTTTGATTTTTTGCCGATGTTAGAGTAAACAAATCACGCCACGCATCCAATACACGTCAACTGGAGAGTCTGATATTCTTTCACAATTGCGCTGATATTATATACACCATTTTTACAATAATGCAATAGTCTCCATAAAAGTAAATCTTCCATTTTTTGTGTGAATAAAAATTCAAAATGGAAAGCAAGAGTGATATAAGAGGGGCCTGGAGATGTGACTGATTAACAGAGAAAATGTTATTTTAGTGCCAGGAATGTCAGTCTTGTTTATTCTATACCCTGTTTTGAAATTGGCATCTTTTGAAATTTGTGTGAAATTGGCCAAATTGCCAATTACTGACCACTTTATTGGGTAGTTGAAATTGGTAAATGGGGGGGGTCTCTTGTACTCAGAACAAATGGAGTTCTAGCGAAATAGATAAGAGTTTGGTCAACTGGAATAAGGTACAGTGGAATCTTGCATATAGAACTTTCTTTGGTCCAGAAGGCTGTTCAAGTGTCGCTACCAAACGAATTTATTCCCATCAGGAATAATGTAAATTAGATTAGTCCATTTCAGACCCTCAAAAATACACTTATAAAAGCACTTACAAAAATACACTTTGATAATTGGTTGAGTTGGGAGCAGTTCGATTTTTGAGTTTCCACTGTAATTAGCTGAAAATAGGGCTCATAGTGGGCAAAATTGCTGATGCGTAAATATCACAGATGTTGCTAACTTCACAAGAGCGCAATTTCCATCGAATCTCACACTTTTGGTGGAATGACCACCAGGAAAAGATTCTTTATCATTTCGTAAGTAATTTTTTAAATTTTTCGGCCCCGAGAGTGAGTTAAGGATTGGGAGTCTTGACCCTGAAAGGGTTGATCTTGTATTTAGTTTCCAGCCTAGGAAGCCTGGTGTGAGACTGGGCAAGGTAATCTCCAGAACACTATGAGGTAACAGATACAGTGGAACCTCAAATATCGAACTGCTCCCAACTCGACCAATTATGTGAGTGTATTTTAGTAAGTGCTGTTATAAGTGCATTTTTGAGGGTCTGAAATGAACTAATCTAACTTGCATTATTCCTGATGGGAATAAATTCATTCGGTAACGGCACTCGAACAGCCGTCTGGAACGAAGAAAGTTCGATATTGAAGGTTCCACTGTACTTAAGTGTTTAATGTGCTACTACCAGCCTTGATGACCCCACATGAGGTTTAGCCTTTAACATGAATTATTATTATTTTCAACACTTCGGCTGTCTCCCACCGAGGTGACCCCAAAAAAGAAAAACATTTTCACCATCATTTATCACCTTCAGATAAAACATTCCAGATGTCACTCCAAACAGCCAGTATCCCAAACCCCTCTTTTTAAAGTGCAGGCATTGTACTTCCCATGTCCAGGACTCGAGTCTGGCTAACCAGTTTTCCTGAATCCCTACACAAAATATTACAGATGTGAGTGATGGGTGGTGCTGTCCCCCCAAACCTCTGGATATTGATGCAGAAACTCCGGAAGACCTGCCCCCACCACCTCCATCACCCCCTCCCAAGAGAATGCAGTCGCTCAAACCTGTGAGTACCACCAGCCCTCTATGCATGGCCAAAAATATTGTTTTTACTACCCTGATAATAAAAATCACTGATGGAGTAATTTCACACCTAATGAATAATTGAGAAGAAACTATGATTTTTTTTTGGTCCTAGATGTTAAGTTGGGAGACCAGGATAGACCAAAAGGCCATGTTAAGTTTCCTCTAAATTAATAAAGTTACATAACTTTACATGTGTGGCAGGCTTGGCAGTCCCTGTGTGGCAGGCTTGGCAGTCCCTGTGTGGCAGGCTTGGCAGTCCCTGTGTGGCAGGCTTGGCGGTCCGTGTGTGTGGCAGGCTTGGCGGTCCGTGTGTGTGGCAGGCTTGGCGGTCCGTGTGTGTGTGGCAGGCTTGGCGGTCCGTGTGTGTGGCAGGCTGGGTGGTCCGTGTGGCAGGCTTGGTGGTCCGAGTGTGGCAGGTTTGGTCCCTGTGTGGCAGGCTCGGCGGTCCCTGTGTGGCAGGCTCGGCGGTCCCTGTGTGGCAAGCTCGGCGGTCCCTGTGTGGCAGGCTCGTGGGTCCCTGTGTGGCAGGCTCGGGGGTCCGTGTGTGGTAGTCTTGGTGGTCCGAGTGTGGCAGGCTCGGGGGTCCCTGTGTGGCAGGCTCGGGGGTCCCTGTGTGGCAGGCTCGGGGGTCCCTGTGTGGCAGGCTCGGGGGTCCCTGTGTGGCAGGCTCGGGGGTCCCTGTGTGGCAGGCTCGGCGGTCCCTGTGTGGCAGGCTCGGGGGTCCCTGTGTGGCAGGCTCGGCGGTCCCTGTGTGGCACGCTTGGGGGTCCCTGTGTGGCAGGCTCGGCGGTCCCTGTGTGTGGGTCTATGATATTATCAGAGATGCAGTTTACAAAGATGCTTCTGAAGTCTTCAGTATTTTTCTCTGACATCAGGTTTCATTTTTAATTTACTTTTGGTGTATGTGTGTGCATTTTTTCTTTCCACGTTATAGGTCAGTGCTTTTTAAATCTTCGATCCCTTGTCAACACGTCTTTCACTACAGCATCAATAATTGACAAGTATTATATTTCTAGTACAGTGGACCCCTGCTTAACGATCACCTCCAAATGCGACCAATTATGTAGATGTATTTATGTAAGTGCGTTTGTACGTGTATGTTTGGGGGTCTGAAATGGACTAATCTACTTCACAATATTCCTTATGGGAAAAAAATCGGTCAATACTGGCACCTGAACATACTACTGGAATGAAAAAAGTTTGTTAACTGGGGGTCCACTGTATTATATTTCTAGTATAAGTAACCTACTGTATCTTCGTCTCTACTCAGTCATTCCACAAAACCAAAAATCATTGAATCAATTCATACATTTTCTGACAAACCTCAATTTTTAGCTAAAAAATGCTCATTCTTCTTTCGACATACTTGTGCTTTATAGTAATCTGTTTACATTAATGTTTTATCACTGATTTCATCATTGCTTAGTTAATCTTAAGTTAATTTTAAGCCAGCCCGTAATGCTATGCATATAAGTGGCTTTGGCATGCTGCTCTTACCTGTATCTTTTTGTACCTCTGTATGTGTGCTCAAATTGATAATAAATAAATAAATAAATAAATAAATAAATACTGGCTGTATCCCGGAGGAAAATATGCATTTATGCTACTTTAAAAAAAAATAAAATGATTTGGCTTACTTTTTCCCATAAAATTCAGCTGTAGCAGCAGTTTTTATTAAAACTGTGATAGTCATATTTTTGAAATTGTACCATTTATTAATTAGGTACCTTTTCTTATTGTACATATTAAGGGTTTAGTGCTTTATGATTACAATATAATAATCCTATTGTACATATATTTGTAATTGCATAATAAATCCTACTTAATATGATGTCTAAATCTTAATAGTTATTAAGCATTAGAATTAGTTGACTTATATAAAATACATTGACATATAAGCTGTTGTATCTGAGAGATTGTGTGTGAATGACGGTGAAAGTGTGTGAATGACGGTGAAAGTGTGAATGACGGTGAAAGTGTGTGAATGACGGTGAAAGTGTGTGAATGACGGTGAAAGTGTGTGAATGACGGTGAAAGTGTGTGAATGACGGTGAAAGTGTGTGAATGACGGTGAAAGTGTGTGAATGACGGTGAAAGTGTGTGAATGACGGTGAAAGTGTGTGAATGACGGTGAAAGTGTGTGAACGACGGTGAAAGTGTGTGAACGACGGTGAAAGTGTGTGAACGACGGTGAAAGTGTGTGAACGACGGTGAAAGTGTGTGAACGACGGTGAAAGTGTGTGAACGACGGTGAAAGTGTGTGAACGACGGTGAAAGTGTGTGAACGACGGTGAAAGTGTGTGAACGACGGTGAAAAGTGTGTGAACGACGGTGAAAGTGTGTGAACGACGGTGAAAGTGTGTGAACGACGGTGAAAGTGTGTGAACGACGGTGAAAGTGTGTGAACGACGGTGAAAGTGTGTGAACGACGGTGAAAGTGTTGAACGACGGTGAAAGTGTTGAACGACGGTGAAAGTGGTGAACGACGGTGAAAGTGGTGAACGACGGTGAAAGTGGTGAACGACGGTGAAAGTGGTGAACGACGGTGAAAGTGGTGAACGACGGTGAAAGTGGTGAATGGTGGGGGAAAATGGTGAATGGTACGGAGTGTTTGTTATTTGGGTCACCTGCCTCAGTGGGAGACAGTCGATGTGTTGAAAAAAAAATTGCATGCCAGTGGTTTCTTTTGTGCCTAACAATGTTTTATTATGCTTAAAGTACATTATTTTGTACTGCACAAAGAAATAATTTGTATTTGTATAATTAAAAGAGGTCAATATATCTGAAATGCGTAGGGAGACACTGGTCAGAGAAATAGCAAGCATCAAACTTAAGCTAAAGGAATCTTATAGGAGTCAGGAATCGCGGGAAGAACTAAAAGCCATAAATGAAATTGAAAGAAACCCAAAGTATTTCTTCTCCTATGCCAAATCAAAGTCGAGAACAACATCCAGTATTGGGCCCCTACTTAAACAAGATGGGTCCTACACTGATGACAGCAAGGAAATGAGTGAGCTACTCAAGTCCCAATATGACTCAGTTTTTAGCAAGCCGCTAACCGGACTGAGAGTCGAAGATCAAAATGAATTTTTTATGAGCTACAGAATTTGGTTAACACAAGCCTATCCGATGTTATCCTGACGCAAAATGACTTCGAACAGGCGATAAATGACATGCCCATGCACTCTGCCCCACGGCCAGACTCGTGGAACTCCGTGTTCATCAAGAACTGCAAGAAGCCCCTATCACGAGCCTTTTCCATCCTATGGAGAGGGAGCATGGACATGGGGGTTGTCCCACAGTTACTAAAAACAACAGACATAGCCCCACTCCACAAAGGGGGCAGTAAAGCAACAGCAAAGAACTACAGACCGATAGCACTAACATCCCATATCATAAAAATCTTTGAAAGAGTCATAAGAAGCAAGATCACCACCCATCTAGAAACCCATTAGTTACACAACCCAGGGCAACATGGGTTTAGAACAGGTCGCTCCTGTCTGTCTCAACTATTGGATCATTACGACAAGATCCTAAATGCACTAGAAGACAAAAAGAATGCAGATGTAATATATACAGACTTTGCAAAAGCCTTCGACAAGTGTGACCATGGTGTAATAGCGCACAAAATGTGTGCTAAAGGAATAACAGGAAAAGTCGGTCGATGGATCTATAATTTCCTCACTAACAGAACACAGAGAGTAGTCGTCAACAGAGTAAAGTCCGAGGCAGCTACGGTGAAAAGCTCTGTTCCACACGGCACAGTACTCGCTCCCATCTTGTTCCTCATCCTCATATCCAACATAGACAAGGATGTCGACCACAGCACCGTGTCTTCCTTTGCAGATGACACCCGAATCTGCATGAGTGTCTTCCATTGCAGACACTGCAAGGCTCCAGGCGGACATCAACCAAATCTTTCAGTGGGCTGCAGAAAACAATATGAAGTTCAACGATGAGAAATTTCAATTACTCAGATATGGTAAACACGAGGAAATTAAATCTTCATCAGAGTACAAAACAAATTCTGGCCACAAAATAGAGCGAAACACCAACGTCAAAGACCTGGGAGTGATCATGTCGGAGGATCTCACCTTCAAGGACCATAACATTGTATCAATCGCATCTGCTAGAAAAATGACAGGATGGATAATGAGAACCTTCAAAACTAGGGAGGCCAAGCCCATGATGACACTCTTCAAGTCACTTGTTCTATCTAGGCTGGAATATTGCTGCACACTAACAGCACCTTTCAAGGCAGGTGAAATTGCTGACCTAGAAAATGTACAGAGAACCTTCATGGCACGCATAACGGAGATAAAACACCTCAATTACTGGGAGCACTTGAGGTTCCTAAACCTGTATTCCCTGGAATGCAGGCGGGAGAGATACATGATTATATACACCTGGAAAATCCTAGAGGGACTAGTACCGAACTTGCACACGAAAATCACTCACTACGAAAGCAAAAGACTTGGCAGACGATGCAACATCCCCCCAATGAAAAGCAGGGGCGTCACTAGCACGTTAAGATACCATACAATAAGTGTCAGGGGCCCGAGACTGTTCAACTGCCTCCCAGCATACATAAGGGGAATTACCAACAGACCCCTGGCAGTCTTCAAGCTGGCACTGGACAAGCACCTAAAGTCGGTTCCTGACCAGCCTGGCTGTGGCTCGTACGTTGGTTTGCATGCAGCCAGCAGCAACAGCCTGGTTGATCAGGCTCTGATCCACCAGGAGGCCTGGTCACAGACCGGGCCGTGGGGGCGTTGACCCCCGGAACTCTATCCAGGTAAACTCCAGGTAACTCCTGAGAGATGGTCACAACTCTTCCTACAAACACTAACTTGAATCTGAGTGACCTGCCAAAGGTAGTTTAGAAAAGACAGGTTGCAGAACAAGCTTTTACTGTGACAAAGTTTGACCTTGTAGTTTCATCGTCATGACTAGAATTCTACTGAGAGAAAAGTGTCAGTTTCTCGGGTGTTGCACAAGCCACACAGGTTCAACTCTTCCCTACTGAGAGGTTAATAATAATAATATCAACCACCCAGGGAGGTACTACCATCCTGTAGTAGTAGGTTGGTAGACAGCAACCACCCAGGGAGGTACTACCATCCTGTGGTAGTAGGCTGGTAGACAGCAACCACTCAGGGAGGTACTACCATCCTGTGGTAGTAGGCTGGTAGACAGCAACCACTCAGGGAGGTACTGCCATCCTGGGGTAGTAGGTTGGTAGACAGCAACCACCCAGGGAGGTGCTACCATCCTGGGGAAGTAGGTTGGTAGACAGCAACCACCCAGGGAGGTACTACCATCCTGTGGTAGTAGGCTGGTAGACAGCAACCACTCAGGGAGGTACTGCCATCCTGGGGTAGTAGGCTGGTAGACAGCAACCACTCAGGGAGGTACTGCCATCTTGTGGTAGTAGGCTGGTAGACAGCAACCACCCAGTAAGGTACTACCATCCTGTGGTAGTAGGTTGGTAGACAGCAACCACCCAGGAAGGTACTACCGTACTGCCAAGCGAGTGTAAAATGGAAACGTGTAATTGCTTTACATGATGGTAGTAGGATTGCTGGTGTCTTTTTTCTCATAAATATGCAAGTTTTCAGGTACGTCTTGCTACTTCTACTTACACTTAGGTCACACTACACATACATGTACAAGCATATATATATACACCCCCCCCCTCTGGGTTTTCTTCTATTTTCTTACTAGTTCTTCTTATTTCCGCTTATCTCCATGGGGAAGTGGAATAAAATTCTATATCCATAAGCTATGCATGTCGTAAGAGGCGGCTAAAATGCCAGGAGCAAGGGGCTAGTAACCCCTTCTTCTGTATACATTACTGAAGTTAAAAAGAGAAACTTAAGTTTTTCTTTTTGGGCCACCCTGCCTTGGTGGGATACCGCCAGTTTGTTGAAGGAAGAATAATTATTTCTACACTTACATGATACAACTTATACAGACCATAAATGACATCAGTGACACACTATATAGAGATTCCCTGGTTATGTAGAGCATTTCATGCAAATTAAATTACTTTTGTCCCCAGGATGCCACCCACACCAGTCTACTAACACCCAGGTACCTACTTACTGCTAGGTGAACATGGACAGCAGGTGTCTTAAGGAAACATGTCCTAATGTTTCCATCCATACCAGGGATTGAACCACGGACCTCAGTGTGTGAGCTGAGTGCTCTATGCATCTGCTCGCATAGTATAATTAAGTCATTCTTCAAACCTTTAGTATGAAGGCTTAGCCCTGCCAGAGAGTTGTCTTAATACTGGTGAAAAGCCCCTGGATTCAAGAAATTGAAATGCCCTTCCTTGGATCAGTTGTAATTGCCTCTCGTTTCCCAGGCACTGTATGCTTAGGCGGCTTATTATTCACTTCAGGGCCAATTACTGCTCTTGCCAGTCAGGTGATTGCACTTGCCACTCTCACCTGTGGGGTTGCTGTTACATTTGCATGAGGATGATCTAGTCCCTAGTTACACATTTCATAATACAGTGGACCCCCGGTTAACGATATTTTTTCAATCCAGAAGTATGTTCAGGTGCCAGTACTGACCGAATTTGTTCCCATAAGGAATATTGTGAAGTAGATTAGTCCATTTCAGACCCCCAAACATACACGTACAAACGCACTTACATAAATACACTTACATAATTGGTCGCATTCGGAGGTGATCGTTATGCGGGGGTCCACTGTACGTACAGTAGAACTCCTGTATTCACTGATTCGGTATCTGCGGTTTCAGTTATCCACAGTTTACTGTGGCCCAAAAATACCTCTTAATTTTGCATAATAATGGCACCAAATCACAAAAGTAAGAGAAACAGAGAAAGAGAAAGCCATGATGTGCTTCCCATCAGTGAAGAAGTAATAATTCTTCACTTATTGTGCATAATTTATCAATTAAAACTTTATAATAGGTATGTATAGGACTTACAGCCTCTCCTCACTTAATGACGGAGTTTCGTACCTATGACCTCGGTGGTAAATGAATTCGTCGTTATGTGAGGAGCATACTATAATGGTAGCAAGTTTGTGTCAACCATCTTTGATATTATTTTAATGTCACCTTTGCACCATTTATAACATTTCTGGCATATTTTTGAATGTTTATACAGTAGTGTACTGTACATATATTGAAATAACAGAATAAAGGAAATTAACCCTTAATGTACATTATTTATGTATGCATACTGGTCAAGGAGCCTGTTGTAAGTCCGAGTCATCAGTAAATGAGTACATCCCTAAGTGAGGAGAGGCTGTATAGGGTTTGCTACTATCCAGTTTCGGTATCCACGGCAGGGTCTTCAAATCTCTCCCCCGTGGATACAGGAGTCCTACCGTATAAGTACTGACAGGACATAAAAATTTGTCATAATGACATTATCCCTCTTGCAGGCATTTTCATACAGAGTCACGGAACGAAAGTTTGGCGACACCGATGCTCAGGAGGCAGAGTCGACCACAAAGAAAGAAGTTCAACCAAAGAAGGTGTCAAAGTTCAAAGCATCAAGATCGAAGAAATAAGTTTTACCATTTCCCTGACAATAGGTGTTTAATTTAATAACCAAATAAAGATAAGGATATATACATAGAGAGAGAGACGGTTCATGTTTGTCTCTTTACCATTTTCACTCATTTTGAAGTTTCAGATTCATATTGATTAGCATAAATTTACCAGCAGGGTATTAATATTATAGGCCATATAATGCATGGAGTGCAGGTCTACCTAATATAGTGAAGTATTAACTAAACTCATTGCAGCCTATTTCTGCAACTATTACCAGTAAGCTCTTATAATGCTATTCTATATAGTGTAGTTTTTTACCCAAAACAGTTGAAAAAATACATTCAAAATTAAGCAGTACAGGAGGGCTCCACTTACACAGCAGGTTAGGTTCTGGGCTACTGCTGTATAGGAGGGTCCCACTTACACAGCAGGTTAGGTTCCAGGCTACTGCTGTACAGGAGGGCCCCGTTTACACACAGGTTAGGTTCCAGGTTACTGCTGTACAGGAGGGCCTCACTTATACAGCAGGTTAGGTTTCAGGTTACTGCTGTACAGGAGGGCCCCGCTTATAGAGCAGGTTAGGTTCCAGGTTACCTCTGTACAGGAGAGCCCTGCTTAAACAGCAGGCTAGGTTCCAGGCTACTGCTGTACAGGAGGGCCCTGCTTATAGAGCAGGTTAGGTTCCAGGTTACTGCTGTACAGGAGGGCCCCACTTATACAGCAAGTTAGGTTCCAGGCTACTGCTGTACAGGAGGGCCCCGTTTACACACAAGTTAGGTTCCAGGCTACTGCTGTACAGGAGGGCCCCGTTTACACACAAGTTAGGTTCCAGGCTACTGCTGTACAGGAGGGCCCTGTTTACACACAGGTTAGGTTCCAGGTTACTGCTGTACAGGAGGGCCCCGCTTATACAGCAGGTTAGATTCCAGGTTACTGCTGTAAAGTGAGACATTTTTTTTTAACTTTCAAATGCATGTAAAAGCCTGATAAGATGTTTACACTATCATATATTAAGTGAATAATAGAGCTAGGCCTAAAAAATTCATATACAGTACACACATTACTTACCTTTTAAATATTTTCAGCCTTAGCGTATAGTGAGTGGTGAATATATTTATTGTAGGAAGTCTGAATAAATGAAGAATGGCTATAACCGAAAAACCATAAAACGAAATTGGTGCCCGACTGTACGTGCTATGGAGGTTTTTTTATGGGATATCTAATTTTGAATTCAATTTTTCAGTCGGTTACAAAAAATCATTCTGTATAGAGGAGCTTTGTAAGAAAGCTGTCGTCATATGCAAACTGTTCTAATATTAACTTGTAAATTATTACATTCCCCATCTTGCAACTGTAAGGTGACTACATCCCAGGTGAGGCGTTAATGTTGTCGAGCACCTTGACGGAATGGTGTAACCACCTACCCCTAGACCCGGCACAGTTGTTAGTACCCTACCATGCCATCCTTGCTTGCTCCTAGGGTGACATTGTCTTCTCATAAGCTGTGAAGGCATACATGTATCCCTGTTGTGTAAAAACAGTTGAACCACTTAATCCGACCATGGAATGGGCAGGGTTTGAACTGGCATGGAGATTTACCACTCTCGCCGTGGGTTCGAACCCCACCCATTATGTGGTTCATGTACAATCGTGCTATTACAACCACTTAATCGTTTTGCCAATTTATCATCCTGTCAATACATATCATACACATTACTGTGGTGTTTTTCTTGCCCTTCCTCTGGTAGTGTAGACAACTTGTGGGACATCCTCATCCCCTATATTGGTCATTTTTAATCCTTCTGTAGTCTTAATAGGTAAATGAATTTACACGTGCAATAATAACACTTAGAAACCAGTGATATTTTAATACGCAGTTTAACCACTATGAACTGGAGGTGCCCATCCCTTCCTTGGGGCCAACCTGATTCACTTCAGAAATTTTATGACCCAATAACTATCATTTTCTATGAATATGATGTAATAATAACCACTTAGAAATTGAATTAGAAGATTTTTGACGACATTCTCAATGAACATGAGTGTGTGTGTTTCTTAAGAATGTGATCGATAGCATAAAAGTGCTTGAAATTGTTTTTGTAATCTGGCCATTTACCACTAAGACGGGTGCTTGGAATTATAGCAGTTAAATTGCTTATTAATTTACACGTGTAAAAGAATTGTAGAATCTGCACTGTATATTTCTTCCACATGTACAGCTGTTCATTGCTCCCAGTGTTGGTGTGAACCTCGGGTCCCCAAATACTTCATTGCTGTGGTAAAGCAGGAAGGTAGATGAATGGTTCGGAGAACCGACAGGATGAACAATTACACTTGTGCAACACTTTCCCCACAAGGACACCCAAGTGTTGCACAGGTTGTCTAATTCAAAGGAAGAACACATAGGCAGAGTTTGTCATGTTGATCACCGGGTCAAGCATGCAGTCAGGATAAGACGCTAACCTGATTGAACGTGTTTATGTGCATGTTTGTGTAGCTCTTCTCGTGTACAACAAAAGCAGCATGAAGACACTAAGGTGAGTGTGATGGCCATTTTTAATACAAGTACAGGAAGGCCCCACATATACACCACCTTTTTTGTTCCATGTTTTTGTAGGGTTCAAATTGAGCTGTTGTTCATTGTGTTCCACCTGCTGGTGATAGTCACCAGTGGGTGGAACAATGGCTCAGTTAAAAGCCAACCAATATATAGAACACTGAAGTAAGTGCTGCATATATGGGGCCCTCCTGTACTTCATCTCAACTACATTGATAATAAAATAAACTTTAGAAAGATTTATGGATGTTTAATTGAAATTTAGTAAAGTTGATGTGTTATTTAAACCAAGTGCTAAACCCACAAGGGTTATACACAGCTGAGCTGATCTGTTACTTTATTTTTGTTGTAGATGAATGGTTCAAAGAACCGACATGTTGTTAAATTAGACACATATGCAACTCTTGGGTATCTTTATTGACGAAACGTTTCGCCACACAGTGGCTTCATCAGTCCATACAAAGGATAAAGTTTGTGGCTTGCCATGAAGGAATGCTAGGGTAATCAGTTGACACTTAGCATTCTTGATACAACTGAAACACATTAGTAGACGTATTTATATTAATCTATGAAATGAAAACCTCTTCAAGGGGGGCTCCTTGGCATGGTGAAGAGGCTCTTGGTCTGAGGAATTAGACCTGTCGGTCTCCTTCCTCAGACTGAACCTAATTACCCCCCAATCCCCCCTTTCCTATCCCATCCTCCCCTTTTTCCTTTCCTCCTCCTCCTCCCCACCCCTCCCTTTTGCCCTTCCTCTTTTTGGCCTTTGGGATTTTTCCCACAGGCACACTAGCTCATAGGTAGGGGGAAGGGTACTGGGGTCCATCCCATTCCGTTGAGGTTCTTGGCAGTGGCGTAGTTTGCCATGGGATCTGGATCACCTGGGGATGTCCCGATCCCTCTCCGGTATCCCGGAGGGTGGCTTTGGGTGTCTTTCGGGCGACGGGTGTATCTCTGGAAGCTACGTTTTGGATTCCGGGGGTGGTGGCCGAAGGAGGTATGCTTTGTGGCAGATATCCGGCCGCCCTCTCTTTTGTCCACCGAGGTAGCTCGGCAGATGTGAGGTTGCTATCCTGGATTGCTGGTTTACTGGCATGATGGGTAGGGTATGGCACGGGTTCCATGCTGCATCTGCGCTACTTGTGGTGCTGAGATCCTCTTGGGCGTGGAGGGAGATTTCTGGCCCTTTCATTCCTCCTAGGAACTATCCCTCCCCGGTCCCCCCTTTTTTTATCTTTTTTTATTTTTATTTTCTTCTTTTTCTTTTTTTTTTCTTAAAAACAAAAAGAAAGAAGTAACCTAACCATGGAGTCCCAAATCCATGACCCCGCTACCCCCAGACCCTTTATTGTTACCGCACCCTGTTCTGACCTCGCCTCGTCTTTTGGCCACTCTTTGGACACTCCTAAGGCCCCTGTACCTCTTGCTGGTGCTGTTTCCTCACCCACTTCAGGTACCGGGGCTTCCACTGACTCCTTCGATTTGTCTGACCTCCGCTCTCCTTTGGCTATGCTTCCGGCCTCTCCCTCTAAGGTGTGATGATTTTCGAATCGCCAGCCCATCTCACTTCGAACCGACTCTGGTCCCACTTCGAAACTCCAACGACAATCTCCTGACGATGTTACTTCGTTACCTTCCCATTCTACTCGGAAAAGACCGACACGTCATGCACTCCCTCTCCACACTCAGTTTCGGACCACACAATGGACTAAATTCTGTACTTTACGACCGACTTCTTCTACTGCCTATCTTTCTGACCATAGTATTGGCAAAGCGCTCCTACGCCACGTTGGTAGAGATATTTCCTTTCATGCTCTTAAGAGTGGTACGCACATCATCACAGTCCAGAATTCTACCCAAGCTCATGATCTTTCTCTTCTACTATTCCTATCACTATCGAAAAACATCATTCCCTCAATTCTTGTAGTGGTACTGTTATTCTGCCCCATACCATAGTCCAACAGAATTTCCAGACATGTGGCAATGACATTCTTGAACAGCTGGAACTCCAAGATCTCCCAATTCTCAAGGTAGACACTTATGTTCTTCCCGCCCGCGGGCGAAGACGATACCCTTGCAATGTGGCTCGTTTAACTTTTGACAGCCGTGAACTCCCATCCTCTGTTTATGTAGCAGGACATCGGTTACAAGTTTGGAAGGTGATCCCTACACCGCAACAGTGTAGGAATTGCTGGCGATTTGGCCACCCAGCAAAATATTGCAGATCTATAGCCGAATGCCCAGTCTGTGGTACCGATGACCATTCTAATACATCTTGCAGTTAACCTCCCTCTTGCCTTAATTGTCATGAGGCTCTCCCTTCGTATTCTCGCCGTTGCCAGGTCTACTTAAATGAGCAGGAAATTCGTTGCCTCAGAGAGGCAGAAGGTCTCCCTTATGCTATGGCAGTTTCTCATCTCCGCCTCCAAGGGAGACTACCCCGTGTTTCTTATTCTCGTGTTTCAAAACGTCCCCCCACTTCTGGGGTCCCATCTTCTGCAGCCTCCTCTGCGGTTGCAAGTCCCATAGTCACTCCTGTATCTAATTCTTTTGCTGTCCTGGGCTCAGACATCCCTACTTCAACACCTCAGTCCGTCCTCACTTCTTCGTGTTCTCCCTCACAAACTCCGGTATCGACAAGACCTCGTACGACACCTCCTCCCAATCGTCTCTCTACCTCTCAGAGGTCCAACAAATCTCCTTTAACCCCTCCTTCCCTTCATCCACCTCCACATTTTACCTTCCCGGTCTCTGTACCTAGGTCTTCCCCTTTCACTGGCTTCGTTACAAGTGTGGAGGTTCATCCTCCTCATACTGTGCCTTCCTCCCCTGTCCTCTCCTAAGTTTCTTCCTCTTCTGCCACCTCCCGGGTTTCTGCCTCTTCTGTCCCCTCCCACACTTCTCCAGTTTCCTCCACCCTTTTGCCCCCCCCCCACCTTGGTACAGTCCATTAGAGCTCCGATCTTTACTCAAACTCCTCTTCCTTCCATCTCCAATATTGTCTCCCATACGACGTCTCTGAACTCCGAAACGCTTGAAGCAATCTCTGAATATATTGCAGAGACCAAACCATCAATGGACATTGATCCACCCTTTGTTCCTTCTCTTTCCTCTTCTCCATCTGCGCAACTCCTTTCTTCACAATGCACTGTTCCTTCGCTACTTGAACGTTTTCCTTTGCCACCGCATGTGGACTTTTCTAACCCTTCTAGTCCGTAGGTACCCTTACCTGCAGATTTCAGGTATCTTTATCGTTGCCAATCATTGCTTATTTACAGTGGAATATTCGCGGCCTCAGGGGTAATCGGGGTGAGCTTCAGATGTTGCTCTCCCAGTTTTCCCCTGTTGGTGTTTACTTACAGGAACCAAAATTACACTCTGCTGTTATCTATCCTATCTCAGGCTATAATTTATTGTATTCTTCAGATCCTTTTCCTGATGGGACCTTTAATGAAAGTGTCCTTATTCTACGCACTGATATTCTGTACCATCAGCTTTTTGTTTGTACTTCGCTGCATTACACAGCAGCCCGTATCTCTCTCCTTCTCTGGCATTATCTATCCTGGATATTGCCTTTCTTGTATCGTCATTACTGCCACCACTTCTGTTACTTGGCGATTTTAATGCCCATCGTTTCCTCTGGGGGGTCTCACTGTGATTCCCATGGCATTCAGTTAGAGGCTTTTCTTGCCACCTACCCCCTCCATGTTTTAAATACAGGTACTCGCACCCATTTTGATCCTCGGACTCGCACACTCTCTTGCATCAATCTCTGTCTGCTCTTCCTCCTCCGCATTAGACTTCACCTGGTCTGTTCTCCCGGATTTACATGACAGCGATCATTTCCCAATCATTCTTACTTTCCCTTCATATTCACCACCTCTTCGTAACCCACACTGGCAATTTGATCAGGCAAATTGGAACTATTTTGCTGCAATAGCTACCCACCTTCACACCCGTTGGCAACAACGTTGGTCTACTCTACTCGGTAACAAACTTCATTGTGTTAAACCGAGTATAGGTTACTGGCCGTCTTCTTGTCACCAGTGCCGAGGTTGGGAGACTACTCTCTCCCGTCTCCGCATTGGCCATACTCATCTTACTCATGGATATCTCATGGAGAGGTGCCCTGCTCCTCTCTGTGAGAATTGTCAGGTTC